TGAAAGTTATCACTCAAAATTAAAAAAAAATACTTATCAAAAAAAACGATAAAAATTTATTAATAATCAACATAAATGATACTATTTCAAGTAATTCGGATGATTCTTTATTGTTGTTTTCCAAATTATATGGATTCAGAAATATATACTGTTCTATACCTATTACAGTTCTGCATGTTCTAAAATTACATTTGTTCATTGGAATGAAGTAAGCAATATAGACTTCACTTTAATTTGTAATGTATTGAAGATAAAAAAAAAAAAATGGATTTTACCGTAATATACACATTTGTAACAGAATGGAAGTTATCGGTTGCAAGTTTGTTGATAATACAAAGGTAAAAATTATTGAGAAATTTCTTCAAATGTTGGGCGCGTTCTGTTTCTGAAAGATTTACCAATGTACTGACTCGTTTTTTCAAGTTCTTATGCCTTTTCCTTAGAGAAATTTTGCTTCCTATTTGCTACTAAGAAAATGGCGCCCGACTTTGCCAATAATTATGATTACTATAATAATAGCTCACACAATTAAATGATTACTATATTATTTAATTGTGTGCGAGCTATATGTTGGAATTTGTATCGTTTTATTTTAAAAAGCAAACGTTAATAAATCTAAATAAAATTGTTATGTTCTATGATCTAAATAAGTTATGTCCTCACTTTTATTTTACGTTTATTTTTTTCTTTCGAATATGTCTATTACTATTTTGAATCAAGTAGAAATAATAGATCATTTAATTAATAATGGTATTTCTGAAGAAGGTGCTGTTTTACTTTTTGGTAAGTAAACATACTTTGATGTTCTTATTTTAAAAATATTATTATTTAGAATGTATTATATACACTTTCCATTTGAGTTAGCTGTTTTTTCAGCTTTTTTAAATAAAACACTATTCATCTAAATTATTTTTTGAGAGAAATTTATTAAAATTGAAAATGTTAAATGCGGATGATTATGGAAAAAATCTGATTCCGTGCTGGAATCTTTGTCAAAGCATGTGGTGATACATTATAACTGTAAAGACCTTTAGAATTTTTTTAGATCTCATATTAAAATTTTGACTTTTTATTTTAATATTATAGATTTATATCCTTCCAGTTTTCTGATGTAATATTTTGGTACAAAACATTAGTGGATAATTAATTTCATATCATTCTATACTTCTTTTATAAAAGATATTTTTGAAATAATCTATTTTTCATACAGTCTATACTTCCAGTTATTTATATTGCTTCCTATTAATAATGTTGATTGTCTTTAATTTATGAAAGTTTACATTTGCACGATTGATCCATTCTAATCTTGATCTTCAGATGTTCTACGCATTGTATTTTAAATATATCACTTTGAAAAAAAGTGGAAAAATATATATTTAAAAAAATCAAATAGTATTTTAAAATTTTTTATTCTGTATTTATATTTCTTTTATATATATCTNTTGAAATTTACCAGAAAAAGTCAGGGAATTTTGTTTCTGAAATTGAGTGGGTACCCTGTTGAAAATACGTAATGCTCTTGCCTTTATCCAATATCTAAGCATTTTTTATGAGTATATATTATCAAACCTTTCATAAATAAAGTAATAACTAGGAAAGCTTAGACTCAAATAAAATGGAATGTAGAAGAATCATCAAATTTATGTTCCGAAGAACTAGGATGGAAGTGGTTTAGTACATTTTAACGTATTAATGAAGTCTTTTTAATTGCTATTTGAGTACCTTTATAAAATGAAAAATTATCTAAACTGTTAATAAAAAATAAAAATAAAAATTTGTTTCATTGCAAAAAGTTAAAAATCCTTAAAATTTTTTACCTAAGTCATTCACAAAGCTTACAATCTCTGAAAAGTATTATCTTGCAACTAATTCAGTTTGCTAACTGTTAAATACAGAAGAATAACTAAGCTTTCACTTTTCTTTTCAACTGTCACAGTTTAGTTTGAAAATTAAAAAAAAGAAACTAATTAATTACCGAACATACTATGAATAAAATTTAAAAGAAATAAATGCTCATGCTAAAAATACTTTTCTTTCAATCATATTTATGATAAGTAATAAAAGATTCAATGAATAGTCAGAAAAAAAAATTTAATTCAAATGTGATTTAAATAACATTCAAGTAAAAGGAATAAAAAAAATAATAGAAAATAACTCTAGTATGATTGAAATAAATTCACTCAAAGGATGCTAATTATGAATCAAAAATAAATATATTAATTCAAATTCGACTTAAAAGTCTGTATTGAAATGATGTTAATAGTCTATCAAGAATGATTGAAAATCACTCAAGTTCGACTTAAAACGATCCACTCAAACAATACTGATAATCAATTTATGAGAGTTGTTCGTTAACTGGAAGGGTGCCCTGATAAAGAAGTTTAACACCATAAATTGTTTTTAGAATATTTTCAAAGATGTGAAAATAATTAAATGATCTACAATAACTACCTACAAGACTATTTACTTAAAATTAAAAATATTTTTTCGATAAAAAAGAATATAATAAAAATCTTGATATAAATACATAATTTTAGACGTAGCTAGAGGCAAATGAATATAATTTTCCTATAAGCTCAGACATTCAAGTTAGACATATGATACCGAATAGGAGCTTCTAGTCCTCAATCGGTTTCAATTATTTGGTCTACATCCCCTACCTCTCATTAGATAGGAAACGTGGTTAATACTACCTCCTTGAAAGTAAACCTTCCATGATTCACAGAAAAATAGCAATGCATACCTGTAAGTCATGAAGACCTATGGAGTTGATTATTCACAATTGATCATCTTTCAAGTGTCTGAATAAATGTTTCATTTAAATGAATACCTCAAAGATTATACTTATGTTCCCCTTTTTTTACCCCAGCTGTGTTAAATGCAGTCTACAAATTGATAAGAAAATGGAAGAAATTTTCAGTGAGGAAGAAGCATTGAGAGCATTTAAGACGTCATTTCAACTTGAGGGGTCTCATAACCTGTGTTGTCCTTGTCCGGATGAAAAGATCAAAAGATGACGCTGTCCGATCTATTTCACAAGTGCAATATTATTTTCTCTTCTTTCTTACAAAGATAAGGCGTGGGGACAGGAGAAAGATTGATTCTTTAGTAGTGAAATAGCTTCACAATATTTTCAGTTAAAGATGAAGCAAAAATTTACTTGCTTTAAAAATTTTGAAAAGTTGTATTTTTTTTCTTGTAATTTAAAGCAGAAAAAGATTTTTTTTTCAAATTTAGAAAAAGTAGTGTCCGGTTTGAAGAGATAGAAAATAACGTTTCAGGGCCAAAATGACTGTCCGCGTCCGGTTACGGGAGTGTCCACAACAGAAGGTTTCACTGATTATATATATATATACACACACAATTAATCAAAGGGAAGATTATAACAGGTTTCCCATGGGTCAGGGAAACCCTGAAATTGTCAGAGAATTTTATTTTAACTCCAAAAATCAGGGGAATTTGCCATTTTTTTCACTAAATCCTGGAGAATTCCGATATCATACCTGGAAAATAACCAGTCTTAAATTTTTAATTGTAACAGTAATTAGTTATAGAGATTTAAGTTAAACAATTCTAGCATCTATTACAATTATATGCTAAAATTTCACAATTTAGTCAAACTGAAATGTTCCCAACCCCATCTAATGATATTTTTTTTACTCAGAAAATCTAATATTTGCCATTACAAATGCAAGAATAAAAGATTTCTGGTGAAAAATGTTATGATATAGATTAAATATGGTCTCGATTTTAATTGAAATTTACCAGAAAAAGTCAGGGAATTTTGTTTCTGAAATTGAGTGGGTACCCTGTTGAAAATACGTAATGCTCTTGCCTTTATCCAATATCTAAGCATTTTTTATGAGTATATATTATCAAACCTTTCATAAATAAAGTAATAACTAGGAAAGCTTAGACTCAAATAAAATGGAATGTAGAAGAATCATCAAATTTATGTTCCGAAGAACTAGGATGGAAGTGGTTTAGTACATTTTAACGTATTAATGAAGTCTTTTTAATTGCTATTTGAGTACCTTTATAAAATGAAAAATTATCTAAACTGTTAATAAAAAATAAAAATTTGTTTCATTTCAAAAAGTTAAAAATCCTTAAAATTTTTTACCTAAGTCATTCACAAAGCTTACAATCCCTGAAAAGTATTATCTTGCAACTAATTCAGTTTGCTAACTGTTAAATACAGAAGAATAACTAAGCTTTCACTTTTCTTTTCAACTGTCACAGTTTAGTTTGAAAATTAAAAAAAAGAAACTAATTAATTACCGAACATACTATGAATAAAATTTAAAAGAAATAAATGCTCATGCTAAAAATACTTTTCTTTCAATCATATTTATGATAAGTAATAAAAGATTCAATGAATAGTCAGAAAAAAAAATTTAATTCAAATGTGATTTAAATAACATTCAAGTAAAAGGAATAAAAAAAATAATAGAAAATAACTCTAGTATGATTGAAATAAATTCACTCAAAGGATGCTAATTATGAATCAAAAATAAATATATTAATTCAAATTCGACTTAAAAGTCTGTATTGAAATGATGTTAATAGTCTATCAAGAATGATTGAAAATCACTCAAGTTCGACTTAAAACGATCCACTCAAACAATACTGATAATCAATCAAACACGATTGAATATCACTCAAGTTCAATTGAAAGTTATCCATTCAAACTTGAGTGATTTCAGTTCATTTTTTGACTTGAGTAAATTTAAATCAAGATGAAAAGGCTCATTTTTTCCAGACGAATGAGTGAATTTTCACTCAAGTTGAGTCATATATAAGTCGGAAGTTTCTTTTTGAAATATATCTTCTTTGCATAGCAACTAATAAAGGTGGTTCGATATATATAAACGATCAAGGTATTTTTTTCTTTCTTTATGTCATATTTAAAACTCAAAAGAGCAGTTGGAATTTTCATATTCTGTTAAAACCTTATCAGTTTCGTTAAAAGGCGACTGTATATTTACCTGTTTCACAATATCTTCCCACGTATGGAGGAACGCATACACATTGTGCACCATTTCTACCGACAACGCACTTTCCGCCATTTCTACAATTCACTCCTGCACACGGATCTGAAATGATAACATTGGAACATTTATTATTGTCAAAATGTTTTACATTATAAATATGAACCTTAAACCTTATTTCGAGGAACTACAATATATATATATATATATATATACATGTCCCGTGGCAGAATCACGGCGCGACATTGCCGCAGAATGTTACAGAGCTCTGGCAGAACGATTTTTCTTTAAGGAAGTAAAAATGTTGGTTCTCTTTTCTGAAGAATTATATTCAAAAAATGCATTTCTTGTACATTAAAAGGCAACGAAATGCACGCGATTATTATTATACATATTCTGAAATCACGGAAGTTTAGAAGATTAAATCACTTTAGAAATCATGTTCTTTCCTTTCATTATTTTAGAGGATACCATCCTTATTTTAATAAAATATGACTATGAGTGGGGTTTTTGTTACAAAACCAGATTTTTCTAGCGAAGGAATTAATTAATAAATGCAATATATTTCCCCCTTTTTTTTAATAAATTTGTTGAATAAATTCTATCTAATATTTCTAATATATTACGCACAGGAAAATTTTAAATCACGCATTTTAGTCTTCATTTTTTCGTTCGCAACTCACATCCATTCCATCATTAATAGTATATGTAGTTTTCGATCATTTTTCGGCAATTATTGCTAAGGATTTTATTACTTTTTTAAATATTCCGGTGTCTTTTATTGCTCAGTTTCTATTATTGATATACTCGTGATTTTTTTTTTTTTTTTTAAATTGCCGATACTATTACGACACACAAAGTTCGAATCGTGGATTGAAGAAATCAATCTTTAACACACCCGGTTTGCACCGACATGATCGCTGATCCATACGGTGTTCCAATTGTTCCTTTGACAGTTATTGCTACGAAATTCCACATTTAAAAAAAAATCCTTGATGTTTTTTTAAACAATTACACTACACACGAAATTTAAATTGCTTATTTGATAATTTACTTTTTTAATGCGACGTTTTCATCATTTTTTCAATTTTTCAGCAGTTATTGCTAGAGCTATCGATTTCCATGGGATTTTAAAATTCGGGTTATTTCCCCGTTGTTATTATTTCTACGTGTAAATTTGAATCGTGCATTTAAAAATCACTTTCTGATGCAAATCACAATTTACGCCAATAATATTGTAAAGTGTTTCGATTGTATTTTCGAAAGTCATTCACATTGATTTTCACGTGTCTTCTAAAGTCTGATATTTTTAATACGTTTACTTGCAACAACCGAATCTCGAAACGAAACACGCATTTTGAGTAATCCCTTTTTAAATAGTCCGATTCGAGTGATTTCATCGTCGATCTTTTTTTTTCAGTAGTTACTGCGATGGATTTCACGATTTTTAATTAATTTTTTTTTAATGTAATGATGATTTAAAAATTCGAAAAAGGAAATAATTAGTGCGTTTATCTCTTACGAAGAATATCGCCCATAGTATTAGAATAAAGAAACATTGCATATTCTATTAAAAATATTGCAGACAGTTTATTAATCCAAATAGGTTTTTTGTTTTAAACACAACACTTTTGTTACTTTAACTCGGTAGCATATGTATATTTATGTTATTAAAAGTATCTTTCAGAAAGTAGTGATAGGGTAGTTAGTCGCAAAAAACCCGAAAAAATTCTGTTCCAGGCTATACACGTAATACGGAAAAATCTAAATCCTGCTTAATAGATATTTTTTGAAAGAAAAAAATTAAGTAAACTTTTTTTCAGGCCATGTTAACGTTTTTCAGTCGGAAGTTTCTTATTGATGCATTTTCTTCACAGAATAACTATTAAAGGTTGTTTGAAATATTTGAACAATCAAGGTCTATTTTCTCTTTTGTTATTTCACGCTTAAAACACAAGAAAGCAGGGGGAATTCTCATATTCAGTTAAAATCTTATCAGTTTCGTTAAAACAAGACTGTATATTTACCTGTTTCACACCATTTTCCGATATATGGGGTACGGCATACGCATTGGGCACCATTTCTACCGACAACGCACATTCCGTCATTTCTACAAGCCAGGCTTATGCACGGATCTGAAAAGACAACATTGGAACATTTATATTACTCAGAATGTTTTACATAATAACAACGGACATTAAACCCTATTCCAAGAAACCGTATTATATTCACGTGTAAGAAGTAAAAAGTTCGAAAGACTTAAATCTTGCTCAAAATATTTTTTTCAAAGAAACAAATATGTGTAAACTCTTTTTAATATTAGACATTTTTTTAACTCAAAATCTTTTTTTCAATATTTAATAGATGAATATTTAAAGAATGTCGAGACAAAGAGGATTATCTCTGAGAAATGATGTCCTTTTTTTACCCGTACATTATTCGAATCGGCCAAAATCTGGCGAAGAAGTTATTAAATTATTTCTAACTTTAAACACCATTAGCTTTGAAATCATGCCACAGGCGTATTTTGGCATGGATAAAGGAGACATGTCTTTTAATTGTATTTCCCAAACTCCTAGTTTAAGTAAAATATAAAAAAAATTCTATGCTTTGTTAAAGATTATAATACTTTTTGCATACAAGAGACATATGAAGTTCACCTCTTTTTATTTCGGCTTGTCATATACACTATCTACCAATAAGTATTTGGACACGTGTGATTGAAATGAAAAACGAACTTTATTCATAATCAATAGTTGGTAGAGCCTCCACGAGAGGCAATTACAGAGTGAATACTTTCCGCAAGTCCTTGTGTGACGGTATTTTCTTCCACTCGGCTTGAAGAAGACATGTAAGTTCATTCACCGATTTTGGACGTGTAGTACACCCCTTAATTCGGCAATCCAACTTGTCCCAGAGGTTCTCGATAGGGTACAGGTCTGGGTTATGGGCAGGCGAGTCCATTCCATTAACCCCATTGGCACCATACCAATCGTTGGTGACCCTCGCAACATGACAACTGGAATTGTCGTCCTGGAAGTTACAGGGGTCCACCCCGTAAAACTGACACAACGTAGGAAGCACATTGCCCTCCAAAATAGTGCAGTAGGCATCGATGTTGAGATTACCATGAATGGGGACCAAGGGTCCCAATCCATACCAGGAGAAACACCCCCAGACCATAATTCCACCTCCACCGAACTTGACTATTGTCACAATGCATTCTGGCAGGTGACGTTCTCCAGGCATACACCAGACCCAGACCCTGACATCCGAACGGTAGAGAGTGAGTCTTGATTCGTCGCTCCAAGAAACCGCTTTCCACTGATCTACGGTCCAATTTCGATGTGCTTTGCACCACATAAACCGAGCAGTGTGGTTGGACTTTGTGATCAAAGGCTTATGGGCAGCAGCACGACCATGAAAATCAAGCAGATGTGCTTCCTTACAGATGGTATTAATTGAAACAATACTCCCGGATGCCTGTTGAAACTCCTGGAGTATGTAGGTCATCGGCTGGGTGCGGTTCTTCCGAATTTCTCTGGACAACACCCGTCAGTCTCTATCTCCCAGTTTCGTTGGTCTTCCGTCTCGGGGCATATTCCGACACTCATCACTCACCTTCCACTTCTTAATCACATAAGCCATTGACTATTTTGGGTAATTCAGCTGGCTAGATATGTCCCTTAAGGATTGGCCATTTTTATGGCACCTGACAATTATACCTTTTTCGAAATCATAGAGCTCCGAACTGCGTGGCATCTTGCATGGGACTAATGCCGATGTTGTTCCTTACACGATATATCTCGGCGGAGGGCGGAACGAATCTCAGGACCGTAGATATAGACCTTTGCATAGGTGCCCAAATAATTATTGGTAGATAGTGTATGTACACATATGTAGATGTATGATAAAGTAATTCAATTTTAGTCAGCAGTGTTATGGAAGCAGTTTTCTTCGGAATATTGTGTGTTGTCATCATTTGGTGGTTGCATGCGAAGAGTTAGTTCTATTATCTTTTAACTAGGCGACAGTTAAATCAATGAGTCAGGTCGTTCCACATTTACCAGGATTCTCACCTGAGACTTCGAGGAGTAAGATTGTGTTATAGCTAAGCTCCCGTGCTACTATGCCTTCCTACTACAGATTCGGCCGCGGTGGCAAACGAATGTTTAATGCAAAGCCGCTTCCTATCTTAGACTATGATGAGATTAGAAAGGTTTGCTACAAATATGCTAATAAGAAAGCATCTCCTGACAACATGGATGATTTGATTAGAAGGATGAGATCCAGCAAAGGAGAAATAGAAAATCGACTCAAAAGAAGAATCGATGACTACGACTATGAAACTTGATACAGATTTGGATATATGCTCGAAAGATATCTGATAATCAAGGAGGAATGGGCTGCGAAGGAGACAACTATGCCAGAGCAAGGTGAAAAGATTGACACTACAATCGAGACTGAAATTTCCCAGCAGACGGAGTCATCTTTGACACAATTAGAAACGATGGATACCCAAATATCTGAAACAATAATAATAAATATTGTTTCTAACAGACGACTTTCTTCAACAGCGAAACAAAATTAAAAATTATCTCGCATATCAGGTAAGTAAGGGGTCTACGCAAAACCGAAAAACATGACAAGGGGTCTACGTGACAAAAAGTTCAGGAACCACTGGTCTAGATGAACAAAATTCAGCAATGCTTGCGTTTGAAAAAATAAAAAGGAGCATTTAAAAACTTATACTTAATAAAATAACAGCAAAAAAAACTATTTAAAAAAGTTACATACCAGCATTAGCACTATGATTTCCAGCTCCAGAATCATCACTATAATTTCCTACTTCGACATCTTGGCTATATCCACCAGCACCTGCTATTACTCCTAAAATTATTTCAATCAAAAACTTAAGACTTTTTTTCCCCAAAAATAATTAATAATTATAGCTAAGAAATCTTTTCATAATTTTGAATATCACGATTAAAAAGAAGTAGACTGCAATCATATTGTTAGTAACAGGAATGTTTAGTTATGTATACCCCTGAAGTCAGGTTGACAGAGCTTACATCTTTGTTAATGTAATTTTAGATGGAATTTACATTGTATTTACGATTATTTACAAACAGTTTGATTAGAGTAGCATTCTTTGGCTTACTGCAACCCAATGATTCGTTTTTTGCTACTACGGCACATTTAAAGTTTAATCTTTTAGAAAATTGAGGCATAAGTGATCCAAATTTTAGTGGTACTTGAATAGATCTTCACGTCCTCAAAATTTATTCGAAGCCTGCACCACAAACCTTATCACAGCCTGGGTTTGACAGGAGGTGTTTCTCTAATGTGGTTAGAGTCAGAATCGATAAACTCTTTTAGTGCTATGTTCACTTACGTTTCGTAAAGAGGATACACCATATAAGAAATCCAAATAATGATTTCAAAATTATCTGAAATTTTAAAGTTTTTTCTTTAATACAAAACTTGATCTTCGCTCAACAAATTCCTGCCACCCAACAATATCTCTGCTTAGGACTTTGTGCAGAATACTTCACAAATCGGGGCCCGTTCCTCTGTCCAATTCCAGATGGCTAACTGTTGTCAACTAAGTCCTTAGGTTGAGCTAAGTTTTTCACATAAGTTAGAACGTTAACTAACGTGAAGTTAATTAAATACAGTACCGTATCTCTCATTGAATTTGTTGAAATATAATTCTTTCTTTGATTTATTATTTGTTTATGTATTTTATTGTAGAGCGCGATATATTTTGTTTTGCGAATCTTTTAACGCGCCTTTTGCTTTGTGTAGTAAGTTTGTTTATGTTCTACATGGTTTCATGCCTGTCTTTGTGTTAATTAAGAAATATATCGTGGAGGAATTGAAATCATTGTGAAAGAATTTTTGTGAAGTATTATAGAATATATCACTTAAAGAGAATTGATACTTGAGGGAGAAAATTATCTCGAAATAGAATGGAAAGAACAGTTGCTAACGTAAAGAAAGCCATGTTTTAACAATCAATCAGACTCGAGATACCCACACTTGCCGCTATCCATTGTGATAGGGTAAAAACAGTAAAAAATCTTTTGAAGAACGTCCTTGTTGAATATTCCATTCTATAGAAAGAAATTATACTATATCAGTCTAAAAAATTTTCACCTCCAGATTATTTTTATCCAGATACATTCATTGATGAATTCTTTTATCTTTTATGTTAGAATCAAAATCTCTAGAGTTTTGAAAGTAAATACTTCAAACTATGAAATACTTCAAACTTTCTGAAGTGGGCATTTTTAAATCAAATTGTTGTTTAGTAATGTTTTCCTCGCATTAACATTTCACTTGATAACGGCAGCAAGGGTTGCCAGAGCTTCCATTAGATAACAAAGTATCTAATTGCCACAAAAGTAGTGGAAAACAGCTACTCTCCTGACCAATTTGAAAAGATGACTTATCTTTAACCGTATATGAGAAACCGGTGTTCCTTTGATATATATATATATATATTTCTGATATTCTAATTACGGGGTTGCCACTGGCGACTAAAATGTAAAAAGTGGTAGAAAAAGTAATAGTATCATAAGGGAAATATTTGGACGGTGGAAGGGGAGGCACCAGTGGTATTTTTTTTTTTTGTACATTTAGTTTTATTTGAATAATTTCAACTGTTTTATGCCAAGAAACAGCAATTTATTACATTCATCGGGGTTGGTGAGGGTCAGCGACCAGGGGGCTTAGCCCCCTAGTCTTAACATAAAGCAAATAATTGAAATACACATAAAAATTTTATTAAATCGATATAATCTTTCTAAATAGATAGATCTTATACAGATTTCTTAATACCATAAGTTTTCGCTTGAATATTACGCTGTCACAAATTTCGATATTCGATACCAAGGTACACGTGTATACGTGTACATGCATGTTCTTGAGTGTATTATTTTTAAATATTAAGTAAATATAAATTTAAAAGCTTCATGCAAATCCCAGAATTATTAAGTCAAAAGAAACAAATTATTTTCAGTATAACTAAATTGTATATTACTTAAAATTGCTATCGTTTTTCGCCATTGCTTTTCGAAAATCACTTCTGTTCATGTGAAAATTCTACCCAAATGATTTACATTTTCTGTATCTTGCATCCCAGAAAACTTAAACGAATGTTTCAGTGTGGGTAAAACTATACATTTTATTATAGCATGTTTTTAGAAGCGATGTGGACCGAGGTTATGAACAGGTTATATATTGTTAACGAATAAAATAACCTCTTATTGTCTCCTACATTCTGCATTCCTGCTTTTTTTTTTACTGATCGTAAAGACACGGTTCCCAGTAGAACATTGAAGTCAAGCATAATTGACTACGATCAGTAAGCGGGTGGTTGACCCTTTCGATCAACCTGCGTAGGGACCGTAGGTGAGCGGTATCGGTCCTCGTTAAACTGTTCTACCTTAAAGTGCTCGACGTCGTGAGCAAGTCGTCCGGGCTACCAAAGCAGGGGAGCTATTCCCTCTGCAGGGGATCAAAATTGCGATGTCATATCTTCGGATCATCCTCAGGTATGTTTCCCACACCGTCGCCAATAGCCCATTGTGCAGCTCTAGGACGACGCAAATAAAGTACCCACCTACCTAATTTTTTCTCAAGTACAGTTGGCTATTTTCTTAAATCCGGTTAATCGTTACGATTGAAGGATTATCTTGCATAAAATTAAATTAATTAATCATTTTATACAAAAAAAAATGTTTTTGTTAGAAAGATCGACGTTTAAAAACGGGGAAAAAAGTGAAAGAGAAGCAACCATGGGAGTATGTAAGAGGAGCGAGTAGTAATTTAAATTGATAAAAATCCCACCAATAATATCTAACTAAAACTTATTTCCGTATGACTTCCGTCATTTAAAAGTTTTCATTTATTATATTTTTTTAAATGAAAAAAAATTTTGAGTATTTAACAGCGAAAAGTGCACACCGACCATCTCAAGTCCGGTGTGTCTTATTCTCGTGCAACGAAATAAAGTGTGCCTGCTCATGAATTTGCCAATAGTTCCCTAAATTCCAACTTTTTTTTTTTTTTTGGATAGAATGAAGAATGATTTTTAACTCTACATGGCAGGGGTGGCCAAGCTCTTTGATAGTCGAGCCATTTTTCAAAGTTCGAAATTTTTCGCGAGCCGCAATTAAGTACGTATTTAAAAGGTATGCAAAAAAGGGTGTTAAATTTTTTTTTACATAAATTATATTGATTGAAAACATATAAGTGAAAGTGCTAAATATGTGTATTTAATTTTCTTCTCTTAATAATTCTTTAAAATTTGGTTAATAATTGGTGATAGCACTTCTCAGTAATTCCTTGAGATGCTGGTTAGTTAATACTGATCGGTGTTTGGATTTCACGAATTTTAAAGTAGAATAAAATGATTCACATAAGTACGTTGTTCCGAATATTGAAATAATTCGACAAGCAGCCTTTTTTTGTTCAGGATACTTCGATTCTGGTACAAATTTCCAAAATTCAGAAATCGATCACGATTTATATTTTTTAATTGTAGAGCTTGATCGTCTTGCATCTCTATTAATTCTAATTCTTCAGGTGCTTTTTGGGTCATAATTATATTGGAAATGGAAAACTCACCTTGAACTATGTTAATTTCAAATGGGTTCAGAAAAATATTAAAATATAAAAGCACAAAAATGGAACTCGGGTACATTTATCCAGAGCCACAAATAATCGTTCAAAGAGCCGCATGCGGCTCGCAAGCAGCAAGTTGGCCACCCCTGCTATATAGTTTCAATTACAGGTCAACTATTAGTTTCTGAAGCCACCCTATAAGAGGAATTGAAGACAGATTGTTATTATCGCATTCACGGATTAACCATTAGTTCCCTCAAGTTTCTATTTTAAGATGACTTGAAGACGGGTTGTTAATGGTTCGGATACATATTCATGGATCAACCATTCCTCAAACTTCCACTTATTATAATTGAAGAAGAGTTTATAAATGCCTCTAATTAACGGATTCACAGGTTAACCATTAATGCCACAAGTTTCCACTTTCTAAAGAGGAACTAAAAAAAGCTCCCACTTTCTAAACTGGAATTGATAAAGCGTGTTAAGGTCTTGGATACAATTCATGGTTTAACCATTAGTTTCTTCAGCTTACACGTATTTTAATTTTAATGGTAGAAGGGTTATAAATGCCTCTAATTAACGGTTTCACATGTTAACCATTAACGCGCTTCCTAAAAAGGAATTGATAAAGTGTTGTTAAGGTCTAAACAACGTGGTTAAACATTAGTTCCTCAAGCTCCCATTTTAAAGAAGATAAATTATGCTTCATAATTATGGTGCATAGATTTCGAAGAAGAAAAAACAGTTTATCTTTTAATATCAATATTAGTTTACATAAAAAATATAACATTTCCCAGATTATACTTACGGGCATTTTCTGGAATTTTTCCAGAAGAGTAACTGTCAATTTTCTTTTGGGTGTTTTCATACTGTAAGTCTTTAACATGTAATCGACGTGCAACAACAACTTCCAAACCGGATGAAACAACGAGCAAACAAATTAAAAATTGAAACAACGCGTTAAATAAGTTCAACATACTCAAAGTCATGAAGTTAACTGGGAGAATTTTTTTTTTTTTTTTTAATTTTTATACTTGAATTGGCTTCATATCTCACCCCCCATCTTGTTCGTGTGAAATTCTTAATATTTGTTTTTCATTTACGCATTTTTCTTGTAGATATGTGTCATGTATTTGTTATCAGCAAAACAAATAATAGCTTATTATCTTCAATTTTCAATATTATTCAACATCTGATACTTCTTGGATGTTAGAGGCTTTACATTTTTATCTTTCCTAAGAAATACGAAAAAATTGATTAGTTTCTTTATCTTCAAAGCGCGTGTAACTTTTGAGTATTTTGCATTAGAATTAAAATGAATAGTTACCATTAAATGTTAATTAAAATATCAGTTTTTAAAACATATAAACATCCTTGAAAAAGAATGAATTGCCTTCAATCCTCCACAATTAATGACAAACACAATAAAATTAATCAAAATTGAGATTTTAGCGAAATAGATTTTTTAATTTATCAACAAAATATTTGAAATTAAATTGGTTTTAAAGCATGCTTGTTTCTCTAAATATTGCACAAATAACTTAAATATCTATATATATATTTCTCTTACACGGCGATAAAAAAAAGCCTCATTACAACTCTCCGAATGGCAACGCTAGAAAATCAACCAATAATTGCCGCTAAATATGTCACATGCCAAATCTAGCTAAGATGGCTCAACATATAGCTCTTTTAAAAACGGAAACTGAAATAACCAGGGAGAGCATAAGCTAGGCAGAAGTCTTTGTCGATAGATCTCTATTTTGGTTTTTTTCACGAATTTATGTATTACGAATTTATTTGACAATTTTTGATTCATATCACGAATTTATTTGTTTTACTAGAATTTATTTGTTTATGCAGGTTTTTCCATTGCAATTCACTTATTTAAATTTTTAATAGACTTAATTATAGCCGAAATTTTAATCTTTTTAAAGAGATATCAGTTTTAGAAATTTTATCTTAAGATTTTATACTATAGCACATTTCTAATAGATTTAACGAATTACATGTCATTTATTTGAATTCAAATTTATTTTAAGGACTCAGTACTTACTAAAAAGATGTAATTTTTTTTAGAAAAAAAAGTTGTTATATGGATTTGAATGATTGTTTTGAATTCTTAGAATTTTGTGCATTTGCAATGTACCTAAGTTAGTAGCGAGCGAAGCGAGCTTGGTTTGCGGGGCAAACCATATAACATTGCGTAGCAATTTTCGGGGGTTGGCGAGCGTTTGCGAGCAGGGGGCGCAGCCCACTAGTTTTTAAAATTACTTAACTTTTTTAAAAATCCCCAATTTGATGACATTTTTCCCCTAGATGAAAATTATCAAAATTACTTCTTTTTTCTGTTTTTGCAAAATTCTATGAGCCCAGGTGTTGCAGCATTGGCGTACGTTTTTAAATATTAAAAATTTAGACCATAAACGCTTTTCATTTTCATTAAACTATGGCTTTTTTCCATATTGACCTCTTGTGCCATTTTTAAAATAAGCGTGGATAGAGCTGGCTTAAGATAAGCTAAACATGATCTAACAGCCATGAGTAACGATTGCAAACTCATAGCAATTATAAAAATAACATAATTTCATATGAAGACGGAGCTTTCGAAAAACAGCCTTATATGTCGAATCCTAGATCGCCGATTTTAACGATCAGTTCCAGTTGTTATCCAGTTTCCTTCAACTGATCTTCTAGTTAACGAAATCATTGCGAAACTTCAAATTGGGACAAAATCCGGTTTTGTATAAATCGAATTCTGTACTTTTCATTTTTACCAAAATTTATAAGACTGCGATTTATTATTCATGGTAACCTTCCTTAATCCGGTTGCTTTTTTTTTTACCTTGATTAACTTTTCAAAAAAAGAATAACTATTAAACCATCTCTCTGTTTTTATTAAATTCTTCTTTTCTTTTAAATTGATGCGACTTTTTTATTTTTTGCAAGCAGAAAAAAAAATTGCATTCTTAAAATTCAATTTCTCACGAACTATTTCACGCAAAATTTGTATTTTGTAATGAAAAATTACATTCTTCAAAATAGTGTAAAAAGTTATACCTTACTATTCAAACAATTTTCGAATGTTAATAAATAAAATTTTATTAAATAATACACTTATTAAAAATTTCTTTTTGAACCAAATTATCTTTGAAAAAACGAATTTTTTATTTAATTACAAGCAAAAACTTTTCACATAGCTAAAAAAAATTCTCGAGATACAATGAAATACTAAATTTTGGACAGTTTTCCTGACTTAAGTATTGAGACCATATTACTTAGACTGCGGCAACATCCTATATTTTTGGGGTCAGAAATCCATCGAAATGCAGGTATGTTTATTGAGAGAAAGTACATTTTGGTGTCAGATACTGTAACTTATAATAATATCAACTACACTAGTTATCATCGTTTTGAACTCATCCATTTATTACCATTAATGAACCATTAAGACCTAAAAATAAACGATTACACCAAAAGTTATTCATGGTAATCATTTTTTTTAATTTTATTAACTGCAAAACTACTTTTAATATTAACCACATAACCTTTTAATCAGTGTTTGAAACGTTTCATGTTTTGTTCTGTATTTTCTTTTTTTTGCTTGATAAGTTTTATTTCATATATATTTTTTACTTAATGTGTTCCATTTTCATTTCAATTTTTTAAGTGCTCCTCACACTATTGTATGGATAGATTTTACTTCAGCTATATTGATACAATATTAGAAAGCATTCCTTTTTGCAGATCTAATCGTGAGAGCTGATGAAGAGATTTCATGTTTTCATTATTTTCTTTTCCGGCTTTTTAATACTTTAATTTTCTTCTGCTCATTAATCTTTATATATATATATATATATATATTTTTTTTTTTTTAAATTTTTTTTTAGAATTACTTTATAGCAGCTGAAATGTACTGAATAAAACACTATATCTGATGTTTATATAGGTCATTCTCCTACTGCTGAAGCNATAAAGATAGATTAGATCTACACACATAAATGGTTAGATAGACTCAAAAAGTTTCATGACCCTTGTCAATGAACTTCCACATGTGCCCCCTTCGTTGCACGGAGTACATCAAGTCGATAGTCAATTTCACGCCAGGTAGTGGCCAGCATGTCGGCATCCACAGAGGCTATTGCGGTTGTAATTCTGGCTTTTAGGTCATCAATGTTCAACACGATCCTCCTGTAAGCATTGTCCTTTATAAATTCCCAAAGAAAAAAGTCCAGCGGCGTTACATCAGGTGATCTGGGTGGCCATGGAATTGGACCTCCTCGCCCAATCCATCTTCCTGTAAAATGGTCATTCAAAGAACTATGAACGATGATACCCCAATGAGTTGGTGCACTATCTTGCTGTAAAAAGACATGTGTCTGAAGCTCTTCTAGTTGTGGAAATACGAAATTTTCCAACATGTCTAAGTATACGACTGATGAGACCGTCTTTTCAGTAAAAAGAAAAGCCCAATGACTCGGTCATGCATCAGTCCACACCACACATTAACCTTTGGGGAATCCCTTTGTGTCTCACGGTATTCATGGGGGTTTTCAGATCCCCATATGCACACATTATGGCGATTAACAATACCAGAAACATGAAAGGATGCTTCGTCGGAGAAAATTATGCGCTTCAGAAAATCAGCATCATCTTCTATCCTTCCTACCATATCTGTTGCAAACGCCATCCTCCTAGGCCTATCGTTCAGTTCCAAACCTTGAACTTTGTATGCATGCAGTCTTAATTGTTTCTTAATAACCTTGTACACCGTCGAAATTGGCATATCCAATTCTCTTGCCGCTGATCTCACAGATCTTCTAGGATTGTCCAAAAATGTCTGTCTGACACACTCAACGTAAAAATCACTTGTGCAAGGACATCCGGAACGTTTCTTATCTGCGAGACTTCCAGTTTCTAAAAAATTCTTCTTCCACCGCAAGATGCTGCTTTTGGATGGAAGATCTTTTTGGTGAACTCTACTGCAATTTCTCTGTGCTTGCACTATTCGTTTCTATGAACCACCATAAAATCTGTGCTTTCTCTTGTGGTGTATGCATTCTCCTTAGTATCCGCTTGAATAAAACATCACATAGAAAAGTACTACATAGAACAAACACATCAAAAGTGAACATAACATTGCAATAGTTGCCAAAAACAAAAGAGACAAAAATGCAATTAATAAGCAGACGACATTTAGAAAAGTACAGATATTTAGACTGGAAAATGAAATTATCTGAAATTAACCCCACATGCAGACGATATTTACAAAAGTAAAGATATTCAAACCTGAAAAGGAAAATATATGAGTTATTCCATCAATAAATGCCATAAGTTTGTTTATATCTTCATTATTTTATTAGTTATTAAACATCAAAATGGGTCCGGAAATTTATAAACACCCTCCCTGTATATATATACTTAAAGAAAATAGTATCTTATGTGGATGGATTCTTCAGCATAATTGAAATAATCAATATGATGGAAATAAAAGAAATCAGCTTTTATAAGCTAAAAACACTTTATTAAAATATATACATTATATACAATTCTATATTTTAGACCATTTTGATTGTGAATTCTCAATTTCTGGACCTATTAATACTGTGCCTATGTCTTCTGAGTTTTTCAGATACCTAAAATTAAAAAGTTTGATATTTTTGTATCCCTTAATTTTCAAAGACAAAGAAGCAAAAAACTTAAATATTTTATATAAAAACTTGATTCGAATTAACTTGCTGTATTCAAAGTATTTTTAATGATACTGTTCAAAAACAAAAAGCCATAACTCAATATTTACAAACTTACCATACATAACATCTAGGAGCCACTAAATTAAGTGTGTGTGTGTTTTTTTAATATTAAAATGTAAACAATTTAACATTTAGATGTATTTTCAAATTTCAGCTTGTTGCTAGAAATTAATTAGTGAATTATCCCTACTAACCAGCACTGATAAATTCAAATAGATAATTGATAAATTCCTGTTCAATCTTTATCAATCAATGGATTTAAAAAATTGTCTTATTAGCTTTTATGCAATTCAAAAACTAGATGATGGAATAGATTCAGCATTCTTGTTATTTTTTAATGTTCTTGGACTTGCTCATTCGATGTGAGGGTTTTCCAGTGCATGGATTGCGGTTTAGTTTCAGGGTTGTAATGAAAAATCCAAGTTTCATCACATGTGATGACATTTTCAATCAGAACTTTCTGTGAAGCATTCCTTGATGTCAAAGCAAATATTTTTCGGTGTTCATTTTTAATTCGCACGTCAGGTTTTTAGGAATAGTTTTGCGAAAACTTCAGTCTTGTACAAATCCTCGGTCATCCATCAAAATATTTCTTATCGCCCCTGCCAATGTTTATAATATCTGAGGGCATCAAAATACTTGGTCTTCACGCATGATTTCATAAATTTTTTTTTATGTTTTTATCAGTTCTTGAATTCACAAGTTGACCAGAGATTCATCAGCCTTAATCTCTCGTGCTAGTCAAAAATTTCACAACGTAACATGCTCTTTTAACAACCTCTTTTTGCAATTTAAAGCATTTAGCTAGTTCTCAAAAAATTTCAAATTAAAGCACTCATAAATTTTTAGCTGATCATGATCACGACACTTGAATACAATAATGTCTTTTATGAATTTTGTCCGAATATGAATTATTCGTTTGTGGAAGTCTGTGAATCAACGGTCTTGAGATTCGCGGAATTTCGCGAATTAGAGGAAGAATCAAATGATTGGGATAAGAAACAAAGTAAAAAAAAAAACAGAGGATCGGACAGTGCGCCATCTGCACTGAGAGTATCAAGATCAACTACATTCCATTCCTTCTCCTCCACATTAACTCTAACGGTATGCACAGTCCGGTTATTTAATAGTCAGACTTCATAAATAGAAAAAACAGTTAAATATCTTAATTGGGAATGTTCACACAATTTTCACTAAATGCTTCTAATGGAAAAGTATGATGAAAAAATATATTTATTTTCAACAAATTTTACGAGTAGCAAACAAATTAATTTGGTTTTGGTGTTCTTGCTATAAAAGAGTTTTTGACTACAATATATTAATTTGCCACAGATAGTTTTAAATAGATTTTGCATGAATAAAATATTAAATAAGAGTACTTCAAAATAAAGAAAAACTAAATTTAAGATCAAGTCAAAATTTTTATGCACATTAGGTTACACATAGCTGTAAATCGCTACTATGAAAGCAAAATTCTATTAATTTTTTTTTCCATAAAAAAAACTATACATAATTTTAGCAAAATAGGCACACAAAAAATACATTTCCGTAACTATACATACTTTTACTTCACTTATACTTACTTTCACTACTATATATTTTACTACTTTTTATGTATACTTTTTATTTAACAAATCGTTAAAAAAAACAAGGTTTAAAGAAACCTTTTTTCTTGACCCAGAATTAAATAAATGGAATAATTTGAAGAATCATTTCACAAAAAAATGGAAATGCATTTTGTTACCTTTTTGTAGCTTCTACAATAGAATTTTTATCACATTTGAATATTTGCTGCCTCAGGGCTTCTCTCATTTCATGGTCGATTTTACTGAGGAACAGACTCATGCCTTTTGATCCAGGGGCAACTGGTGCATCAATCTATAAACAACATTTTAACAGCATCTTTAACTCTAAGCAATTTTACATTAAAAAATTTTAATACTACAAAATTAGACTGAATAAAAAAATCTAACACAAAAGTCAAAGTTCTGAATGCTCTGAATCTTTTAAAAATTAATAAAGTTCATTAATGTAAATTTCAGTGAATTCATGAACAGTGTTCCTAATGATTGAAAATATAAGTACTCAAGTTAAGCTGGTCTTAATCAGTGATATAAAGAGCCTTGCATTTTGAGAAAATGTACAGTAAGTGAAAACTAGAAGTTATTCTTCAAATCTTACAATGAGACAAAAAAGAGCTGTGGTGGCTCAGGGGATAGAGCGTGCACTTTCCAATCGGATGACCTTGGTTTGAATTCCAACTATGGCTGATCAATAGGAATTCTGCACCGGAGTTGCTTAGTCCACTGTGCTAAAGAATAATATCCTCCGTGGTAGGCGGATCACAGGTTAAAGTCCCCTTGCAGACAGGCTAACCACACACGGTTTCCCTGTCCCTGTAATGGAAATGCGGGATAGTTCCCTCATAAAGTCCTCCATGAAGGCAAATTTTTCCTAATACTTGATCCAAAAGTTTTGTCTTCTCGATTGGGTTCAAAATAATATAGCTATGAGTTAAACTTAGAAGTTGTAAACTATAAATTAGGATGGCTGTTCAACACCAGTTATAAAATAAAATATGGAACAAAAATAAAAACTGAGACAAAAAATTATTCTCCTTATAAGATGAGAATCTCTTCTTTGAACAGAAGAGTATCATATCCGGATATAAATATTAACTCGTTGGTGAGCTTTTAAATCTGGATATAGCTCGAAATGAGCGGTTACAAAAATGGACGCAGCATTTCAAGCTATATCCAAACTTATGTCCAGATTTAAAACTTCACCAATGAACTACTTTCTAAAATCAATCAATTAAAAAAAATGAATAAAATAAGAAACAATGAATGGTTGCTCACTTCACTAAAGACACCCAGTTTAGCTTCGTTGATATCTTGAGCAGAATAGGAACCATCGATGAGCCAATCGATTCCAGCAGAAAAACTGTTTAGAGTCTTGTCAACATTTGGATCCCTTAAAAAACAAACAACAGTGATTTAAATGTTAGATGATATCACATTAAATAGGCAATGCTTGATATAACGTGTCGGACGTGCCTACTCTACTGGAAAATCCAGCAGAGTAGGTAGCAATGCATAATTATAGGAAATAAAACATGAGTTGGTCTTAATTTAACAAAAACTATCATGTTTTTTATCATAGATGGGAAGGATAAGAATATAAGTGGTCCTGTCACTCTTTCTTTATTCATAGAGAATTCAAGATATTTAACATTCATTAAATGGTAACATTCAAAGAGATTTTTTGCTACCCATTGATTTAAAGTTAATGGGAAAATGTTATACATATAGGCAGTGATTTTCTGGGATTAAAAACTTTGGATGCTGTATTGGAATGAATGGTTTAGGTTGGACATTTTAATGTGGATTAAAATCACATTGTGTCTTTGAAATGGCAAACGAGACTTTATGTGTCGGGATCGGTCGTTAACAGTTGAAGAGTCCAGTGATATGGGTTCGTACAAAAAAGTGCAGACTGTATTTAGAGAAGAATATTCAATTTCTTTCTTAAGTTATGTAATTTTCATTTGCTTAGAAGTGAAAGTTTCCTATTTACGGCTATTTATACATTTAAATGGTTTATATTCATTGGTCAAGTTACAACTCACCAGTGTTTAAAATACAATACTCACCACTTTTTAAGGGGGAAAAATGTACATTTGTTTTTTCCTATGGCTGAGTTTCATGCTTCTAACAAAACAAAAACACTAAAAAAAAATTTTTTTTTTTTTTAAATTAACAAAAAAATTCAGTAAAAAGTAATAATTTTATTATGTAAGCTAAAAACATTTCAATTTGATTTGTGGATTTTAATTTTAAAATTTTTTTCATTACTCAGAATTAGCACTTTGGTATTGATTTCATTGCTTATCAGTGTAATTTAAAACACATAATTCCAGTTATCATAGGCGTAGTATTGATGTAGTTACGGTAATTTTGACAGTTTAAAGTTTTACTCATTTTGAAATACAGTAATTTAAATTCAAAATACCCAAAAACTCACCAAGATTAACCCAACAAGATAAAGAAAGGAAACCCAACAAGATTAACAGAAAAATAAGTTAAGAACTCTGCTCCCCCAGACATTTGCCTTCCTTAAAGATGAAAATATAATAAATTATATGCTTCAATTTTTCAAGAGATTTTTAAAACAGAGATTAAAATTTCATAATACTTTCATTCAGGGTCAATATTTAAATAAAAATTACAATAGAACATTAAAAAATCTATATTTACTAATTTAATTATATTTATTCAACGTAAAATATAAAAATGTTTTAAAATGTGTGTCTTTTTTTTAATCTATTTTGAGCAATTTTGACGTAAAAAGAATTATAAACAATTAGATTATTCACGGCAATATAAAATAAAAGATTAATTTCCAGTATGTGCTTGTTGATAAATATTAAGGCTGACAGAAATAATTAATTATTAAATTGTTGATTAATATTAAAGCAACGTTTTTTAACATAATAATATGTTACATAACATTTAGTATAAGAAACAAAACATGCCAAACAATAAATCTAACATGTACTTAAACGAAACAAAAAATTAAAAATTCTTACCTATAAGAATAGAATTTGAAATGACCTTCTGTATTTAATTTAGCACCACCCCCATAGGCACCACCTTTTTCTCTATATAAAGATGAAAAGAGAATAAATTATTCAAAAAAATTATTTCCCCACACAAATGCTATGTATAAGGATATATAGAATGCTTATAATAAGATAATATCATGTAAATGTGCACAATTACAATGAAAAAATAGAACGCATAATGTATTTTAATTTGCTTATAATAACGCCTTTAATTTTCAAAAAAACCATTAAAGAAATTCACTTTAAAGCACAAGATTTGAAAAATTAATTCGAAACTAGAAAATAGAACACATAATATACTTTAATTTTGCTAATAATAACGCCGTTATTTGTCAATAAAAACCATTAAAGAAATTTACTTTGAAGAGTAAAATTTGAAAAATAAATTCTAAATTAGGGCTAAAGAATATAGAATAGTGAAGAAGTCCGGTTCCTGAATATGTAACTAACGTGGGAAATTCCTCATAACAAGATGTTACATCAGAAAAACAACTAATGGAGAGAGCAATATACCCAGATTTTAAAGGGCATCAGATGTACAAAGATTCAACGCATGCACAAAAGAAGCAAAGTGACAGACATGAGCTATGTCGCTTGAACTTGTAACATATGTGTTTGAACTGTCTAGAGTTGAATTGAATTGAATGTAGGGTTTAGTGGCGCAAGGTCCAGATGAGGACATGCTGAACTGTCTAGAGAAAACTGTGATTGTTATGATTGAAGCATTGATGTTTTTAGATTGCTGAAATGAGGTCGCCATAGTTCTTGTCTAGTATGTTGCTGTCCAATTTAAAATAATTAATAAACTTTGCTTAAATGAAACTTTAGGCTTTTTATTATCTAGAGTAAATATAGAAACAAACTGGTTGTTGGTTGATCCCACTGCATCACGCCAACTGCCATTTCATTTTTACGTTCTACGTCAAAATATGTTAACAGCAGATATAATCAACATGCATCATATAAATGAATTCTAAAAGGAAAATCTTAATAAATAGTACAGTGCTGTTAAAAAAATAGTGCAACAAAAGACCAACCATCAATAAAAAAGTGAAACCAATCCATTCTTCTCCCCTAATTACAGGAATGGCCCAATGCAAAAAGATCCTCTGCTGATATGCCTCTAAAGATTGCTTTTTCCTTTATGAAGAAGGCTTATATCAACCCTTGGGAAACTGGTTTACATTATGCCTATGGAAACTAACCTTTATTTCCTATGTACATTCTTTTTTAGGACCTCACTCAATACTAACTGTGGATCATCAACATGCAGAACTACTTATGCAATTCATTTCCAGTTGCTTGGCTTGCACTTTTCATTTTCATCTTGGTTTATACTTCATATTATTTACAATGGAGGTTTTACTTAGAATCTCATCACAAATGTAACAATTCAAATATTTGATGAAATAAAGACCAGAGCATCTTTCTAACAATTATTACTCAATTATTAAAATTAGCTAGACAATACCTCCTTATCTAACATGTAATTGCACATTTAAATTTGCTGTGATTAATTTTTTCTTTGCATCTAAAACAAAAATTCTGTTAAAATATAATTACTCCAAAACTAATTCAAAATTTAAACAAAGTGTGAGACATTATTCATTTCTAGGCATAGGAATATGTGGCTGGAAAAAAAAAGCTTATAATTTGCTTTTGCTGCTAATAGATTTTTGCTAATTTGAATCACAGAGGGAAAAAAATCAACTTTGCCATAAAATAACTCCAAAACTAATGACAGAATAAAATTTATTTTTCCTTCAATTATTTTGGAACATCTTTCTAGAAGTGTGCGAAACATAATATTGTTTCATATTAAAAAAAAAGAAAAATATTTTTAAAAAAATAATAGTAACCAACTAGATTAGAAATAGAATTTACCTAATTTCTGAATGTAAATATTTAGAAGACAATAATTTGGCTGCAACTTTTAAGCTGAAAAGAAAAAGAATATATGTTAGGATGCAAATAAAATGAAGCAAGATAAACAAAAATAGATTTGTTCTGAATAAAAATAAAAATATCTTTTCAAATGAAAATTCCAAATGGTATATACTAGGGGGGGACAAAAACAAAAATAGAAACATTTTGCCCCCTCAATTAATAAATTCAAACATTGGTGAAATTGAGGTAGAATAATATATTGAGTTACATTTTGTATAGCTATTCTTGTTAAGAAATTGTAACTTTTAAATGCTACCACAAGCTGATCGACTAAATCTTTCGTCAATATAACAATGCACTAGAATAAATTTTAAATACATTAAATTATCTTATTGAATTATCCATGTTATTGAGTCAGAAAATAGTGCATAACACAAAAATGCTTGCACAATTTTAGCCAGAGGGGAGGGTTAAATAAATGAACCTTGACTAAGATAATTTGATTTTTTTTATACCCACCCTTGTACATGCCTACAAATATACAAATTCCAGGGAATTTCCTCAAGTATACACAATAAGTAGCAGAAGTTGGGCAAATTCAAAAATGTTTCTTACTTTTAGTAAAATTTTCTGGTGTATAAAATATACTATTTAAATAAATTAGAAAATAACCTAATAAAAACTGTTTTGATGCGACAAACAATATTGTCATTATTAATGTTGGGACATAATTAAAGAAATTTCAATTTGGAATGAATGCCAGCTCCTGATTATTTCTGATAAAATCCTCATCCCACTGAATAAGCCATAAAAGTGAGAAAAAATGTGAAACTAAAGTCATATAGCAAATATTTAACTTATTTTAATGTTTCATAATTATTATAATAGCCAAAATATATAATCATAAGAAATATTTAACTTATTATGAGAACATTTCACAAGCAAAAGAATATCATCTTCACTAACAAATCCAAGTACTTTAGAACAATAATAAAGTAAAAGCTATTGAAAGCATACCTTCCAAAATGCTCATGGTTCAAGGAAGCTGTTAAAATACTTTGCGCAATAAAATTTACAGACAAAGGCAAGACAAAATGTGATCTCTGGTTTCTCACTTTCTTGATATCCATCTGTAACAAAAAGAAATAATTCATTTAAAACAGAGTCTTCTACACCAGAAAGCAATTTAAAGTTTGACAGCCGAGATTGTCTCAAGAATATCATTGCATCTGTATGTCAACAGGACAAATAAAGGACGAAATTTCCGCAATTTATTTTAAAAGTGTATTAAACTGATAGACAAACACAATGTACTCTCACAAGCAGAGTGACAAATGATCAACGAAAAGAAAAGATTACAAAATAATTGGCTTCAACAAAGGCTTAAATTCTCTAGTTTAACCAATAAGGAATAACGTTTTGATCCACTGGGGAATGATCAACAGCAAATTAAAAGTGACCGGCGGAGTCCCGCAGACCATGGCGTCACCAACGTAAGTTGAATCCACGAGAACACAACATCGTCTTAGACAGGATTATTGAGGCTCGAAACTTTACTTTCTTATTTTATTTTACAATTGATCAAAATAGAAAAACCCTTTTAGAATTTATTTATCTAACGAATTTTATTAAAATTTGTACTGAACAAAAAATGGTAAAAAAGCAGACCAATTAAAAAAAAATTGAAAGCTTACAGACAGGTTTCTTAGTTTAAAGTAATTTTAAGGTATGGCTATGAAAAATTGGTTTTCCAGTAAGATTTCTATTTCCTTAAATTTTTAGAGATAGAAATTTTGATTAATTACCATACTTTCAAAATTTATTTTTTCTTCATTGGCAAACTTCAAGTAACAATAAACACTTCAAAATACACACATTTATTAATACTTTCACTCTTGAAGTCAAAAAGCAATTTTTATTAGTGGATGCAAATTAAAATCGTTACCAATCACAGACCAATCATTATTGGGATGAATAAGAGCAAAAAGAAATAACATCCAAGTTGTTGTTGTTTGTTTTTTTTATCGGGGGAGGGGAAGGGGTACTTAAAAGTGATTCCTAGCAAAGGACATTTTAGTCTCTATATCAATAACTATAGGAAGATCAATAACTATAGAAGGAAAAGAGCAAGGATTCTTAAAAATAAAAGATGTAGGTATGAGCAATTTGAAAAATAAAGAATTTCAATGGTCAATTTTCAATTATAAATCACCATTAGAAAAAAAGTTAGGTTTTCAGAGATGTAAATTAACAGTTTAACCAAGATTACTGATTAACTTCATTCAAATAAAATTTACAGATTAATTCTAATCAACAAAGATAGAGATCAAACTGATGAAAGAGCATAATGTGAGCTAGTAAGTTTTTCACCAATTGTGGATTATATATACGGACTGAGTAAAATACACAGTAATTAAATTAAGCAAATGTTTTCAAACAAATTAATTTTCAAGAATAACTATGATACCTGAATGAAAAAATAAATAAAACTTTAAATATAACGTGACAAGACACATGCCCAAGAAGAGACTCTACTTCCATGGATGTCTAAATGTACATAGCAGTAAGCTTCTAGGAAAAAAAGGAACAAAGGTTTCGATAAAGTCTTGGCCATTTAAGCATAGAGATACAGCGTCATTGATCCATAACAAATGAATGAGCATTCTACATAAATTAATATAGAAGCAAGGAGAAAGATGAGTAGTAACTGGCCTTTCTCGTAATGAAAGTACTGCCTTACAAGTGTAGAGATGTTACTACACTAGATAAACGGAAAACATCAATATTTTACGACGATATCCCGTGGCTTAGCTAGATTACAAAAACTAACAATTTGGCGAATCCGACCCAATCATCAATAGTATATCCAACAATCTATCTGCATGAATGCACCTAGTAACAGAAAATATTGACACTGAAACTCACGTAAAGTTGGATAATAGAACAAAATCCTAAGACAGAATTTTAATTTCAGGCGAATGAGAGCTGATTTTAACTGAATGGGTGAAAGAATCACGTGCATAAAAAAATAATAAGTTAAAAATACTATAAATCTCGATTAACAAGTCTTTAAGGAAATCTATAAAAGTCAGCCTAAATTCATCTCTGAAGCACTACCAGTCTTTAAAGACCGCAAAGTTAAAAAGGAAAATAGTTTTTATTCTTTATCCATATGAGTTAGGATTAGCATGAAATAAATGCAGAATTTAATAAATGAAAAAATAGCACAAAAATCAAGCTAAAACACAAACTACATAGTACATTCAAGATAATTAAACCTTTAGTGCTTCTCAAACTTAAACCATATCTAACAGAACCAAGAATATATGACAATAAAATATTCCTTTTAGGATTTGTAGAGAAAAACAAAGATAAAAACAACTTAAAATATGTACAATTTAATTAAAAAGTTTTTAAAAAACTTACCGGTGAATAATTTTTAGAAATTTCATTGCTTTGCCTAATTTCCTTGTTAAAGCTTGATAGCTGATCGAAAGCACTGGGCATAGCATTAGGAGTAGCATTTAAGGCGAATCTGAATTGAAAAAAATACCAAAATTATTCAAAATGAATGATATCAATAAAGTTTACATAACTGAAATTAACTACCTAATTTAAATCAAACTATTTATAAGGCTGTGGGAAGTATACTTTAAATCACTTTTAAATGTCGGTAGGAGGCTGTTTTCTTAATTATGAAATGCTTGACCGTTCTGATTACTATATAAATTCAAAGAAAAAGAGTACTAATGACAGACTTTGTTTATATAAATGTAACAGGGTGGGTAGCCAGATTTTTCAACATAATATAAGCCCCTTTTAAGCACTCAAAAAGTATTTTTAATCACTTTCCAAAAAAATATAATTAGGATCAAGACAGTCATAAAAAAATAAAAATTTCTATCCTTTAAAGTTCTTAATTTATAAACAGAAAATCAATAAAATTCAAAAACATTTTCAAAGACTTTACATAATCATGATAAAATAACTAGTTTCTGATAAATATTGCAGAGGAAAATCATGCATTTTTTGTAATTTAGAACAACAATCGATACAGCAAAGAAAAAATCTCTTTTTAAAAGATAGAAAGGTAAGCACTTTTTACAAACCCCGAATAGAAAAAGCACATTTAAGGCTTTTTAAAAAACGCACATCAAAAATAAGCACCCTTAAGCACTTTTTAAAAATGCTACGCACCCTGTGTAAGTAACAGTAAAATAAGCAATAGTCATGAAGTGAGATTTACACAAGAGAGCTATTTTCTTTTGTGTGTTATCTATTCATTTCATACAGAATTATATACATTCTTACATATAATATATATTCATGCAGAATATATTAAATTTGGTCATTAATAAACACAGAAGTTCAAGCTATTGGCAATTATTTATAGTAAGTAAAATATTGAAAACAACTCCTGACTTTTTCAAAAAAAACAAATTAATTTTAAGAAATAAGCTAAGTGAATTTCTTTTTATAACTCAATTTCAACTCCAAAAATATCTTTACATAAAATTACTACTGGGTCGCTACTCATATGTGTAAAAAAAGTTCCCTGTGTTTTTCCCTAAACATATAATACACAATATATTAAGAGGAAATACACATTCATTGCGCTTCTGAGAACTATATTAGGATCACTACGCTAGTTTTGGTTACTGGAAAAACTTGGAGATAAAAAAAACAACTCAACATAAAACAATTAATGTTACAAGAAATGAAATAATATAATATAGCTCGGTGCTTTAAAAAGTCTGCATTTTTAAAAGACAAAAATAATAAATAAATTTCCCTGTTTTTTCTCAATATGTAAGGAAAAAAATCAAATTCACTGCATTTTAACTGTTATTTTAGATGATGCTTAAATTCCCTGTATTTTACAGGTTTTCCCAATTCTCCCTATAATGTGGCAACCCTGTTAGAACACAATTATGCAATTTATGAAACAATTTATGCCATATGATAAGCTTTTAGAACCTATTTTTAATCGATATTTTATTCTAATATTCTGTTTTAGAAGAATTATGATTATTATCATTGAAAATATAGAGATATTATTTTAAGAAATTTATATAGTAAAAATTTAGTTATTTAAAAAGAAAAAAAGATGACAGGCTATGTGATGTCATTACATGTTTACTAGGTTTAAAATTTTCCGTATTTCATAAATTTAATCCTTTTTAATCTTTCCTAATCCCTCTTTAAATAAATCAGATAATTTATTTTTATTCAATTTTATAAAGAGCGAATATAAATATTTCTTTGCTTGATAAATGTATCGTTTAACTTTTTATTTCAAAACAAGTTTATAGCTAATAATTGTTCAATGCCACAACAAGAGAATATCAAAATCTGTTTTAAACCTTTCCTTATTCAACCACATTAAACACTAGCGTTATGAGGTTTACTTTAATTTCCCACAAACTTTTTGGCCTTAAATCTTTAGCCAGATCATATAAAATTTAATGTGAATAATGCAAAGTTTTTTGCTGCATTATTTTTCAATAACTTGCCACTTTTCCCCATGCTTTTAAACGTCAGTTAGCAAATACACATTCAATAATAATCTGAATTGAATTTGTTGAACTGAGGGGTTAGACGGCTTCTCATGTCCAATTGCCCACCCTCAGTCCAATCGTTGGATCTTTTGAAAAATCATATTACATTTGATCTCTTCAGCAATTGTCGTGTTAAGTATTTAATCATATTAAACAAATTATAAGAGATACTGAAGAGCATATCGTAGAATGGCACCATTGTAAAATTCTTTTCATCGCAACTTGCAAAATAAATGAACATTTAATTTCTACTCTTTTTCTCCATAAGATAATGACATTCTCATTTTTTGACAAACTAAAATAAAATAAAAAATATTTAAAATTTACTGCTGGCCCTATGAATTCAAGTGCCTTAAAAAAAAAACTCCGTAGTAAGAATTGTAAATAACTTATTCAATTTGCAACATAAAATTATACTATGAATATTATGTAATCTGAAAATATACAACGGAATAAACAAAGAATAAAAACTTTGAAGAAGGTCTGTAAAAATAAATAAAAATATCTTATATGAATAAATATGCTGTATCATAATTTCAAGCACAAAAAGCGAAAAAGAAAACATCATGTACTGCAATATTAAATAGTTACCTTTTGACTTTTTGGTGAAATAAATTATCAGCTAACTTCCTAATCTTTTGAAGTATTTCATCATGGTTAGAAGCTTCAGCCAAATTTTTCAAGAATATGAGCTAAAAGGAAATAATTGGAAATCAAAATAAATAAAAAAGGAAGAAAAAGCTTTTTAAAAATTTTTCTCAAGAACTATAAATTATATTTCCCTCTAAATCTTTTTAGATATGAATGAACAAAATGCATAATTATTGTATCAGATATTTTTATTCTGTATTAAATCACATACATTTCTTTATAGTTATGAAATTAACCAAATATTAGGAATTAATAAACACATTTAAGTATTTTATCTTTACTAAAATCCCCGCACTATTTCACACAAAAAAATTCTAATTTTTTCGTGAAAATTTCGATACAAATTTTGATTTTACTGAGTTTTTACAAGATAAAATTTTAGTTTCTAACTGATACTAAACAATTAATTTGCTTCCAAAACCCAATATTTCCTAACAAAAAATTCAATAAAAAAATTTTTCATTGAAAGAAACAAAAAATCAAAACTAAAAGAAAAAAGAATATAAGTCATAGAATCTTTAAATAAAATAGAGAAAAATACTTCATTTGAATTTAATTGGAACATGATAAAAAAAAACTTATTTTATTGGTTCATAAATTTTTTAGATTAGAAAAAAAAAATTTTTTTTTTTTTTGGGGGGGGGGGTAATATTTTTACACATTACTCTTAAAAGGCAACAAATGATACATCATATTTGAGTATATTTCAAATGTGATCCATTTAAATAGTGGATATAATGATATGCATGCAATCTTTATGCCATATTAAACAAATGCATATAATTATAATAAACTTATAGTAAAATTTAACTTAGAGATCAATATTTCTTAGATAACCTAATATAAAAAGTGTGATTACTTGAGCCAAGCCAGATGTTTTTTCTCTGACAGCAGCAACAGGTGAAAGGTAGCTGCTGGCCTTTCTCATGGCATATGCATGGCCACTATGGGACACCCCCTGGGCCATATCTGATGCAATCAGTCTCACCAACTGTGTGAAACGATCACCATCTTCAAGATGAACCCTGCAGTAAAAAAAAAATACTTTTCATTTTGTAGTAATAAGTAAAGGTTTACTTTAAAATAAAGTTAATATTAATGAGATGTAGGACAAACTTATAAAATTTTTCTAATGGACAATTGCCAGCTGTAGTATTTTAAACAGTGTCCTCTTTTCTAAACATGTGGCTAATTTTTTAAAGATCGAAAATTTTAAAGGATCAAGAAAACTTTCAATACTATAAATGTAAGGCTTATTTTTATTATGATTATGAAGTCTTTTTCAAATTATGATAAACATCATAATTTGAAACCTCAACCATCAAACCTCATTTTTAAAATGAAGAAAAATGTTAAGAAACAAGTGGGAAATAAAACAATTTACAAAATATGACAAAATCCTAATTCAATTGTTTTTCTTTAAAAAAAATGTGTAATAAAAGGCACATTTAATGCATTTTTGACTAAAAAAATGGGGAACCAGTTGGCAACTAACGGAAAACTTTTTAATCAACACTATGAGCTCTACTTATGTCCTTTTGAAGGTTCAAAAAAGAAGAAATGTCTCGGAATGAAGAAATGAGAAGAATGGTGGTAGCAAGTAAAAGTTTCCAACCATAATCATTAAGGAATATGCACAACGGAGCCGAATCACAAACGAGTCCATCGAAGAGGAAGATATCAATTCTAAAGCCTCATTTTTGCTGCCTGAATATACCAATTCGAGCTCCTTATGCCGTTAGTAAAGCAGAAAATATTAAGTTATAGTTCTACATTTTTACCGATATTCTTAAGAAATGGTACCTTTAAATCCTACTGCAAGCTGAGCCACAAAATCTTAACATATTAAAATTTTAAGCATTTTTCGACAAATATTTGCACATTTTCATAACATGAGGAAATTATTCCACACAGCTAAAATATGCTTGAAATGTTAAAAACTAACCAGAAATATAGAGAAGTAAAAAATTATACTTACTCATTAAAAATGTCCTTCCATAAGGCAAACATGTCTGGCATGTTTTTCTCCAGACAATAAGATGAAAGAAGTATTTCCTGAACAAAAAAACATAGTTATAAAGAGAAAAAAAATGAAATTAAATGAATTTAGATTATACATAAAAACTAATAATGATTAAATAAAATTAAAATTACAACACAAATTATGGTCACTTTAAATACATTATCACAAAATGAGATTAAGAGGGATTTTTTCTCCCTCCTGAAATTTTTTTTCAAATTCTAAGGAAAATTAAAACAACAACAATAGTAAAAGGCAAAAATAATTGCATTAGCTTAAACAATCAATTTTACTTTATCATGTACATCAACCAAAAAGGGAAATAACAATAATAATTATAAAGAAGAAGAAAGAAAATTATTTCCATAAAATTTAAATTATCTATTAATCTTATTCTATTACTTATTTCAACCATGTTTCACAAAAAGTAAGCACAATTTAATACTGCAACGTAAGTTTTCTATAAATCATTTTAAGTTATAGCAATGCAAACAATAAAGCAACAACCTTTCTGAAAATTTTATTTTTATAGTTTGCAATGCAATTTGACCTATTTGTTACAATAACTTATTAGTGACCAAAGAATATTTAAAGTTTAGAATGTTCCATTTTCAATAAAGCTTACATTTTAATGGTAAAAAAAAGAAATAAAGTTACTTGATCAAAATCGTTTCCAGTCAAAGGGTCTTGGAACAGATTTAACGAAGTACTGAAATTGCCCGTCTTCAGTTGAATTTCTTGGTCAAATTCCTTATAGTTTCTTTTACCGGCACCCATTCTAAAAACATAAATCAGCATTATGTTTTTAAAGTAGTTCACACACACATAAAACAGACAATAAAAAATATAATAACCGAAATGGGTCATCCGAAAATTCAAAACAAGCCAATTATTTATTTGTTTTGAATAAGATACACACAAAAAACTTTACTTTAAAAATCTGTTTCAGAAAAAAATATTCTGAAAAAAAAAACATTAAAATATATTTAGTTTTTAAAAGTCTAACTTTGTTACTAAACAGTTATACGTAACAGCAGTATTACAATTTAGCAACTGTTATAAAAAAACAACAGTGTTACAATTTATACCAAATACTAGAGAAAACACAAAACAAAAATACAAAGCCATTGACAAAAAAAGAAGAAATTTTTCAGCTTATTAACATAACTATTCAATAGAAAGAACAATAATTAATTTGAATGGCTAGAGTTTCTGGGAAAAACATATAGAGAAACATTTTCAAAATGTACAAATTTGTGCAAATTTTTCAAACTTACTATTTCCAAACAAACCATAATGATAGTAACTTTAAGGTATAACCGTTTTCAAAACGATGAATTACATAAATTATAAACAAAGAGTTACATAAATTATTCATCCATATAAATCCAACTCCATTGTGTTAAAACTAAACAACTGAGAATTTATTGCAAATTGTAAAAGTTACACATTTCTCTTCAAAGCAAAGCTCCTCAAGTTCAGGGATGTGATTGACAAAAACACAAAAAAGAGGAAGTTTATAACTGTAGCATTAAACGTGCAAAAGAAAAAATGATATGAATTCAATAGCCAATCTGATAATGATTACATTATTATCTATTCAAATAAATATAAATAAATGGTAATTATGTTCTTAACTAAAATCTTGATTAAAAAAAATTTTTTTTAATAATTTAGAAAACTTAGAGTAATTATGCATAAGCACGATTTTATGTATCACATCATTTTAAAAAACATTTCTTTAATGGTCAAAGGACCTTTATGGACTTTCTTATCAGTTCTTTGTTTTTCCGATGGTCTTTTATTAACATGACTGATCTGTAGACTGCGTTTTGCAGACTTTTGATCATCAGTGTTGATAGGACAAGAAAGTTCATTTCTCACACAATTTTTAGAGGCCTTAGATTAAGAATCGCGATGTTGGATTTCAAAATCACGTGAATAAGAATCGCGATGCTTGATTTTAAAATCGCGTGAAAAAGAATCGCGATGCCGGATTTTAAAATCGCGTGAAAAAGAATCGCGATGCCGGATTTTAAAATCGCGATGTTAATGCAGCAAAATATTGACCTAGGAGACAAGGACAGCGTCTGTATTGGCACTCTTTTCGAGCATATCAGTTGGAGGTCTTAATCTTTTCTTGCAAATCTTTTCTCAATGTTCAAAATGAATTTTATTTTTGGTATGTCACATTTCACAATAAAATTGGTCATATTCATAAATTTGATGAGTGACTGTTCATGAGGTTTCAATCTTATTACAGAAAAAAAATCTTCATAATGCAATAACAGGGTGCGAAGCCAGATTTTTCAACAAAAATAAGCACCTTTTAAGTACTTTTTAAGCACTCAAAAAATATTTTCACTTCCCCCCCCCAAAAAAAAATCATAATTAGGATCTGTGCAGTAATAAAATTGTTTTCCCCTATAGTTTAAAGTTCTTAATTTATAAACAAAAAATCAGTAAAATTCAGAAATATTTTCAAAACCTTTTACATAATCATGATAAAATAACTAGTTTCTGATAAATACTGCAGAGAAAATTGTCTAAACCATGCATTTTTTGTAATTTAGAACAACAGTCGACACAGCAAAGAAAAAATTTCTTTTTAAAAAATAGAAAATTAAGCACNTTTTTAGAGTCCGTGAATACTTATCGCAACGAGTAATGTTTAAACCGCGTATAAATTCGAATATCGATGTTTGATATTACAACCGCGTGATAATGATAACGAATCGCAATATTGAAATTTAAAAATATATATGAATACGAATCGCGACATTGGATTTTAAACTAGCGGGAATATGAATCGCGATATTGGGTTTTAAAAACGTTTAAATGCAAATCGCGATATTGGGTTTTAAAAACGCTTAAATACAAATCGCGATATTGAATTTTTAAATTGCGTGATTGCGAATTGATTTTCAACAAAAGAAGAAAAAAATTTTCAACAAAATATCATTTACTGCATAAAAATTTTTTCCGCGCGGAAATTTATGAAAAAAGAGCGGAAGATTTGGAAAAATCTGAAAAAAGCGGAAATCAGCGGATCCGCGGAAGAATCACATCCCTGCAAGTTTAATTTTTGGAAAAATAATTCTGCAAAACCATTTACTATACGGGGAATCTACAGTCGGCAGGGATCAAACCCATGACCTCTTGTACATGGGCCCAGTGCCCTACTAACGAGGCTATCCCGGCCCTTTCTTTCAAACCATTGTAGCAACATCATTTGCTTTAAAACTTTCATTATTAAACAAAACAAAAAATTAAGCATATGTAATTTTTTATTGATATCAAAAGTATAATATATTCCAGTTTGCTTTGCTTAAAAAGGAAATTCCTTTTACCTCCTACATAAGGGTTCCCACAACTTTGGAGGTATTAGGAAGCCAAAACAATTTAAAAAGAGAGTTCTTTTTTTATACTCAGTACAAAAAAAAATGGATATTCAGCTAGTAAAATATATGTTGATATAGTTATGTTGAGAGGAGTGTCAAGGAGGAACTTACTGTGTGATTACAGAACACATCAGAGGAAGGAGCATAAGATCTTCCTCAGACAGTCGATTAGCATCTAAAACAGCTCTGAAATAGACCACTTCATTTGTTGGTTGCTCACAAGTTTGTACAAGGGTGCCATCTGCAAATAACTTACACTTAATCAATTTAATAACTTATAAAAACTACTTATCAAAAAATTATTTTAAAAAAAATTACTGCTAAGACACACACAGTCAAATAGAAAAAAAAAAACGAAGAAAAAAAAACTTTTCCAAAATTTTACAGTAAACCAACAAAAAATTGACAACTAAGGGAAACAAAATTTATCTTTGCTTTTACGTTTCGGGTAAAAATATTGCTATGCTTAGTTGGGCCCTGTGATTTATAGCCGTCGTTGAACAGCCAACCCAATTTTGGGGTTACAACTACTAATGTTCAACTCCGTAGCCTTGTTATGCTGAACCTGATTTAGAAAATAAGGGAACATATGAATCAAGTATTGGGAAAACTTGCCTTTGTGGAAGACTCTTTGTTGGAGTTAACCAGCATTTGCATTGCATGAAGAGGAAAACCACAAAAACCTCCCAACGTTAGCTTGACGGCGACTCTAACCTATGATCCATCTACCATAGAAGATATTTTACATCAACACTATGGTGGGTGCAAGCCATCTCTGGGATTGGAAGGTGAACGCTCTATTCCCTGAGCCACCACGTCAAATCAAATTTACAAGATTTTAGACTTGTTTTGGGTAGGGCAGGAGGTGATGTCAGAAATCAAGATCTCCAATAAAAGTGTCACATTCCCGAGTACAGAAATTTCTCCCGCTTAAATTCCGTGCGTGGATGTGAAAAATGAATAATGCGTTCATACAATGCAAACATTAATACTTTGAAAGGAATTCAGAGAAGTTGAACCCATAATGAAAAATATGTTTTCAGTGTAATTCAAGGTAACAATTGACGAAGCAAAGAAGAAGTGGTCAATGAAGCACTTTAAAACAACCAATGTAAAAAAAACACCTTTAAACTGACACTATATCATGGGAGAAACTTAGCATGGCAAATTTTATTTAACCTTCTTTCGTAATTTAAATTTTAAAGTTAAGAGAAAAGTGAGCTCAAATGAACATAGAGTAAATCATGAAATTTCATATGCAGAAATTTTTTTTTTAAATATTAGCAAACAAATTATGGCAATATTTATCAGTACTATGCAGTGGGGAATTAATCCAGCAATATTTTATTTACATTTGATACTTTAAAAACACTTTTTCAGCATTTGAAATTTCATGTCTTACTCTATGTTTAACTGAACTCATTTTTCTCTAAATTCTAAATATTCAAAGAAGACTCTTAAGAGCCATTAAAGAAAATTAAAATTATGGTGTTATAACGATTTTAAAAACACTGTAAAACCTGTTGCAAGTCATTTTAAAACTCGATGTGCTCTCAAAATGAAAATTTTTATCTCTTTCATAATTTCTTTAATTTTTTTTTTTTTTTTTTTTGGACATGTATGCTAACAAATAATGAAACTACCTTGTTCTGTAAATATATTTTGCATGCAAAAGAGACTAAGTTTAAAATATGTTTACCATGCATAAAGTCTATAATGGAAATTGTTTGGTTGGAGTTGCTCTTACCCAGCATTGAAAACTTCAGGGGAGTTTTTTCCAATTTCTCTTTCACATCTTTAATTTCTAAAGAAGGCAGGCAAGAAGCATCTGATTTAGTTTGATGTTTGGATAAATCAAGGCCTAGGAAAAATCAAAAAGCAATGAAGAAGGTTCAAATTTTTATCTATACAAATGCTAAATTAGCGTGACAGAAATAAAAACACAATAGTGACATATTGAGAACTTTTTAAACTACAGTTTTTAAAAATCCAATAGATTAAATAAACACACTGAAAGTTAGTCCAGCCTTTTCCCAAGTTTACAGTGCCATACTTTCTTGCATCGTGACTTTAGTTTCCTTATGTTACTCAATGCGAAAATAGTGAATAACAGCAAAATTTCAGTACAATTTTGCCCAGGGCCAATGGCATGCAGGGGTGTGAGAAATCCTAAGCAAGCTTCTGGATTAGATGCCTTTTAAAAAAGGAGTAAAATGCACTGAGAAGATAAAGAAAAAAATGTTTATAGGGCATATATTTATAATAATCCAATTTCAATATAAATGATAAGAGAAACTATTCTATAATTAAAAAATTAAATATTTCTAACAAAATTTTCTAATTTTAGCTTAAATGTGGTGAAAAATATTCAAATATTGATGACCTTATTGTCATTAGCCATTAAGGCAGAGACAGAGCAATTCTTCTTGTTTTCCAGTGGCGCCATCTATGGCCAAGAATTTGACTTCTGCCACACCCATATATTACACACGTTAAAGGGCAGACCTATTCATATGTCCATTCATTCACCCACAAATTGTAATTTTGACCTGAAAAAGAAATTGATCAATATCCAATTCAGTACCCCCAGAGGTATAGTTCCTTATGAGAACATTGAGGACTTTGTGACCTGACAGATTTAATGTGCACCAACCACCATTTACTACAGAGTCATCAGCCATCTGGGATCAAACTCCTGTTCTCACGAGTGAGTGTCCAGCACTCTGCCCACCAGGCTATCCCTGCCTCTTTTGATGTGATGACCTTAAACTTGCTTATTATTATCATTATTTTAAATTCAGGCTTTTTTTCCTTAAAAATAGTTTGCTCAAACCAAATACTGATCAGTTAAAAGAAATAAATTCCATACAAAGTTATTAGTTTTCAAACTCTTACAGCACTTAGTCATGGATTATATTCCCCCTTTGGCTTAATGTCTGGGGCTGTTACCACTTTGCCTAACACCTCTTCACAACGTTTATTGGGTTAAAGTAGTAGATAATTTTATATTTTATTTAATTTCCTTCGATCACCCAAACTATCATCAATCCATCACTTGATGTTAGTTTTTTCTCCAAACTTTTCAAAAAATTTTAATACAGTTTTGATGCATTTATTTTCAAGAAGAATTACTTTGCAAATTTTAAATTGAGCCAAATTAATGAAAATAGAGGGTCTGTTTCAAATAATCTGGCGAAAAAAAATTGGACATTTAAAAATGAAGACAAATATTTAAACATTTAATGAATATAAATTTTTATGCTTATGGCGATATATAAGTCAGTTAAAAAGCAAATATCTATTTTTAAAATTTGACTTTTACTCATATACGTCTACAAGAAAAAATGTAACAGCTATTTTATAAAGAAAAGCATAAGATTATATGAAAATTGCAGGGTTAATTAGAGGAAAAATAAGTTTATATTTTAAGATCTAAAATAATTATTTTTTAAAATACCTTTTTCATAAATTTGTAATTTATCTTCCTCGCTTAAGACATTCAGCTTCGATTCAAGAAGTTTTTTCTCTTCCTCTTTCAGCTCAGCTTCAAAATTCTCTTTGGGCGACATCACCAAAGTCAGCTTATGAGCATTATTCTAAAAACCATAACAATAAAAATAACACTATTTTCACAATAAGACTATTTTTCAAACAATTTTAAATAATTAAGATTTTTTTAAAAAAAAATTTTTTTTACTCATATTAAAAAAACAATCGATAAATGAAGTAAAAAAGAGAAAATCAACTAAACCAAGCAGTCACTTTAAATCAGTAGTAGGAAAAACTACATTTTCTGTAGTTAACTACAACTACTTCATTACAATTGTAGTTAACAACTACATTTTTTGTAGTTAACTACAACTATTTCATTACAATTGTAGTTAACAACTACATTTTTTTGTAGTTAACTACAACTACTTCATTACAATTGTAGTTAACAATTACATTTTTTGTAGTTAACTACAACTACTTCATTACAATTGTAGCTAACAACTACATTTTTCGTAGTTAACTACAACTAATTCATTACAATTGTAGTTAACAACTACATTTTTTTATAGTTAACTACAACTACTTCATTACAATTGTAGTTAACAACTACATTTTCAGTAGTTAACTACAACTACTTCATTACAATTGTAGTTAACAACTACATTTAGTGTAGTTAACTACAACTACTTCATTACAATTGTAGTTAACAACTACATTTTTTGTAGTTAACTACAACTACTTCATTACAATTGTAGTTAACAACTACTTTATTCTCATTGTAGCGACTACAAACTACTTTCGAAATGTAGTCACTACTTTGCTACTTTTAAAAGACAAACTTAACTGGAGAACTTAATTTTCCAATATTCAAAATGATTTTCCAATATTCAAAATGATTAAAAAAATTGGCTAGGTTAAATATGAGGAGATACTAAGTTTTAATTTATGTTTTCATGAATTAGTTTGTTATTCTAAAGCACTTTTTTCTAATTTGTTTTTTATCTTTCAAACTCTATGCTTTTCTTAACAGTGATTTAAGAAATGCTTGGAAATTATAAAATGTTTGTGATTTAAGTGACCAATGTTTTTTTTTTTTTTAAATCCTCAAAATGTACAGTGAGAAAAACTAAACAAAAACGGGCCAAGCTGAATAACTTTTGATCTAATGATCGGATCTTCACATTCTATGAATCAATCTTAATGGTTTGAAGAGGTATATGCTAATTAATTAATACAGATGATATTTTAAAACATGAAATCACATACAAAAACGTAGTTCTGTGAAATTTTAAAAAAGCCATATTTAAAATTTGATTTCTCAGAAATAACTCCAGCGATTTTGCACAGATTTTTCCAAGCATCAGTTGTAGATTTTATTAACATTCGGTCACAGAAACATTCTCATTGCATATTTTGACGCCTCCACGAAGGCTCAAAAAATTTTGTGCGTTTGAACTTTGTTTCTTTATTTAAGTAACGTTAAAACTAGTTGCCAGAAATCACTACAACCTACTTTCTTTTTGTATTGCACTACTCAGTACAACACTTCTTTTAAGAAGCAGCACACTACACTGCAAACTATGGAAAAAGTAGTGATTACAGTATTTTAGCTACAAGTAGCATGCTACTTGTAACCACTGCTTTAAGTTAATAAAATTATAATAGTATGGTTAAAAAAATATGAAATTATTCAATATTTGAAATGAAAAAAGAGAAATAGAGTTTATAATTCAATAATTAGATAAACAATACCAGATAAGCAAATAAATTTTAAAAAATTCAAGCTAGAACAAAATATATAAAACAAATAAATAATTTTAATATTTACTGTATAATCTAATTTTGGAATTTTAAACTTCAGTTCACACTAAAATTAAGAATAAAATTAATTATAAAAAAAGCAGAAGTAAAATATGATAAATTATAAAATTTATATATTTATTTGATATAAAACTTTTCAAATGATAGACATGTTCTTATGTTACCGCATTTGAAACATGCGTAAATTTACATAAATAATTTGAAATAATTTAACCTCCAGAGACACAAGCTTCAAATAGAGATAAAAATGCCATTTTTATTTAAATATTTAGCTTAGACTCTAGTGAACTACTAAATGTGATGAAATACTTATGTTAAAAAAAATTTCAATTAATTAAACTTAATTATTGGTTTTTAGTAATTATCAATTATTACATAAGAAATGATAAATTTCAATTTTAAGCATTTTTTGAAAAGTGTGGGGTATTTTTAAAATATGTTTCTTCACAAAAAAAATAATAAGATATTTATATGCCATAAACCTGTCTAAACACTAACTTGATTTAAATTTCTTACTTCTCTTACAATTATTTACTGTAATTTAAAAATCCGATGAGTTCAAATTTAAGTACAATTCCACAGAGTCAATTGGTTTGAAAAGCATGCAAACAGAACGAAAAAACTTAAAAAATATTATTTTAAGTGATAAGTTTGATCCTCAATGTGTCTTAAAAGTTAAAACAAGGGCTTGTAATAAGTCACCCTGTTTAAATAGATAAATTTTTTACATCAAATTGTTCCTTCATAATGTTCCTGGATACTTAATACTTATTTAAGTTCAGATAATTTCCAATAGATAAAAGAACAATAAACAAATGCTTCTAACATTCAAATAGCCTAAAAGAAAAATGTGGGGTTTTCATCAAAAACTTTGTCTTGAACAATTTGACAATGAGACTTATTATAATGTAGCCACAAGTCCTTTGCATGCTAACTATAATTAAATCTCAAACTAAAGAAAATTCAAATGGAAAGCTACAATTTAACTGCCTTACTTTAAAGTACTGAACTATCTTGTCTTGTAAGAAATGGGGATTTTCATTCATCTGCCTTAAAAACCACTGGACATGGTCATTCACCTTAAAACCAGTCACTGGGCATCCATCATGATTCCATAAAGAATTCACACTCTAAAACATGAAATAAAAAAATAATTAAAACAGAAATGAGCCTACATTTTTTGTATTTCTTTTTTCTGTTGCCTTTTTCCCTTACTATAACAAAACTAAAATATTTTCAAAACTTAAATAAAGAATAAAATAACAATTTTTAAAAAAAAAACTCTCCAACTAAAATATGGAATTTTTTATTAACAAACTTTGATTAAATTAAAATACCAAAATTTATTTTAGAATGTAAAAAAAAACATACATTTTAGCTTTTTGGATTCTTTCTCGTCAAATATACTTTGCACTTATTCTTTGCAAGAAAATACTTAAAAAAATCTATGAAATGTTTCTTAAAAGCCTTACTGGTGCTCAATAAAATTGCATAGGTTTTCTAGAACCATAGAGGCCAGACAACATTTCACCAATGGCTATTTAAGGAGTTCTTCCTGCGATAGAAAGCTTTTAGGACCTGCACTAAAAATAGAGCATGCCAGCAAGTACAGCAATAGCTGGATATAACAAGTACAGTCTGACGACGAATTCCCAAAACATTGCCAAAACACTACCTAATATTAAATACAAAAAAATTATATGTTTATAATGATTTGAAAATTACTAGCCTTCGACTACTAGAACAATTTTTTTAAGGAAATATATTTTTCTGCTGTTTAAGTATATGAAAAAGTTAAAATCGGGAAAGCTTAATATTTATTTCTTGTATCAATACGAAAAAGCAAAAAATGAACACCGCTCCTTTTTTTAAACTTTTATTTTTATAGAGAGATGTGTAAGCAAATACTGGTAAAATTTTATTCCAAAGAAAATTTCTTCTGTTCTAGTTAGAAAACCTACCAAGTACTTCAAAAGAGTTTTATTGATATCATGCTCAGCTTTATATTAAATTAGCAATAACATCAAAAGGTGTTCATTTTTCACCTTGCAAAAACTTGCTACGATTTGTAAACATGTTGCTCTAATATTTTTGTCACAGACATTTTAGGACAGAACTGCGAGATTTAGTCTACAATCTGTATGCATAAGCAGTCACTCTAAGATAGATATTTTAAAACAAAATAAAAGAAATGATATAAACATGACTCTTTAAGTCTCTTTATTGCTATTTTAACATTAAATAAAAGAATTTTCTTAAAATGACAGGTTAACAATAACAACATTTTTATCAGCTATTATGAATTGTTGTTATAACAGAATTTTACTGTATTTTAAAATACCTAAATATTACTTTAAAAGACGTTTTGGGGACTTTTTTTATATTTTTGTTGGTTTAAGAAGTTATGTGCTTAGTCAAATTTTCAAGCAGTTTTTTCAATAAATAATCACAGTTAAAATTAAAAGACGTTTGCGACACAACAAAAAATTATTATGATTTCTGAATGCTGCCTTAGACAAAAAAGTAATGTAACTGTATAACTTTAATATGGAATAATATGCTCACCATTGCACAACTGAGACCAAATCTTGCTGTTCTGTGTTTTGTACCAATTTCAACAGAATGAAGCACTCCTTTGATGCGTTTTTCCGGAAACCCTGTCCTGAAAATATTAAAAACCAATGTATATTTTATTGAAGATTAAAATAACAAAGCAAATACATTTATCAACAAATAGTGTAATAAAAGTTTGAAAAAAATGTAAAATGTTCCAACAATTTGAGGAATTGTTGATTCAAGAAATGATTGCAGAATTAAAGATTGGCAAAGTGATACCAATAGCAACATTTATGGAAGCAGTGTTGCCAGAACTTAAGATTAAAAAGTAGCGAATGTGAGCTTCAAAAGTAGCGGATTCGAACATTTTGTAGCCCAAAAAAACTACGTTATATATATATATATATATATATATATTNTTAAAATTTTAAACAATATTTTATAAGTAATATTTAATAAACTATTCTTTATATTTGTAGTACATAAGTAAGAGAAGTACTAGTGTGGACACGGGCCAGTGTATACAAATGGAAATTTTGGTTGTTGTTTATCACATAAAAAATATCTGAAAATTTTGGCAGATTGTCAAAACTGGGTTGCGTTTCCGCATAAATGGTAGCTAGAATAAAATAGAACAGTGTAACGAGGTTCGATACCGCGCACCCTCGGTCCCAAGGCAGGTTGATCAAAGTGATCACCCACTCGCTTACTGACCGCAACCAGTAATGCTTGACTTTGGTATTCTACTGGGAGCCGTGTCTTACTGTGGGACTTACAAAATCAAATAAATGTAAGTTAATTCTAACACTATTTAACTCTTTCCCTCAAGAAGTGCCTCTCTCGCATAATTTTATTTTACTTTATAAACATCTTTGAACAGCTGACCCAATTTTGAGTTTACGGCTAAAAATGTTCAACTCAACAAGAAAATTCTTGGATCAAGTATTGGGGGAAATTTGCCTTCGTGGAGGACTTTTTGATGGAATTAACCGGCATTTGCGTTACATGGAGAGGAAGACCACGAGAACTCTAACAGTTAGCCTTACGGAAAGGGGACTCAAGCCCTTGATCCGTCTACCACTGACATACCTGCCAACATTTACGCATTTGGCGTAAAATTTTATTTTTATATTTAAAGTGGTAGTAAAAATGTACTATTTTTTTCTTTTATAAACCTAATTTTTAAATGATTTTGATCACCACTATTCTTAAAAAAATTAAGAATATATAATAATATGCGATACTATCATGGTTATCAGCTTAAGCTTCTTCAAATACAAAGTATTTTTTTGCGAAAAATTGAAATTTTAATTCCATTTAATACCACTGGGAAAAGTCATAATGAAAGTGATTAAATGTTGGCAGGTATGCACTGAGGATATTTCACGTCAGCTCTGTGGTCGGTGCAAGTAGGATGCGGAATTCGTATCGACCAGCCATCGCCGAGATCGAACCCCGGTTCACCTCATTGGAAGGCGAACACTCTCTCCCCTGAGCCATCGCGGCTCAGCCAGTGATATTTGACTTCAATGATCTGCTGGGAACCGTGTCTTAACGATCAGTGCACTGAGGGACTTAAATTTCAGTGAGCTGCGTTCATAATTTCGCCAAATTCAATATTTCGTTTTAGCTCAGATTACAGGTCACTCGATTTTTCCAGATGATAAGCGATTAATAATGGTTGGAGTTAAAGCTTTTTTCCCCCATCATACAAGCCGTGCATTTTTCCATATATATCTTTGAGTTTTCACGAGTCTATAATTTGAAGCATAGATAGGGAGAGATTCTGGACTCTGCGCAGCAAAACAAAACAAGAATCCAAAACTAAAGCTGATGCGTTTTCAGAAATAAAAGAAAATATTTTTAAAAAAGATAAAGAAACTGCAGACTTTACAGAATCTCTCATTTTATAATAGGAAAGGAAATTTTTTTTTATAAAATATTTCTGTGAGATAAGTAGCATGAAATTCTCTTAAGTAGCGCATTTTTAAGATTTGTAGCTTTTGAAAAATAATGAGTAGCCCAAAAAGTAGCGGGTAGCCCAAATACGATTTTATGTAGCGGGGAGTTTTAAAAGTAGCCCAATCCGCTACTTGTAGCCCAATCTGGCAACACTGTATGGAAGCCCTCAAAGCGTTTCAATTAATGAGTAAATTTCAGTATTCACACAATTGTAAGGAACAAGTTTGTTTCTTACATTTTCAAGATGTAATTTTATACTTTTTGTCGAGCTCACACTAACTTCACTGAGAAAACTTTCCCACCTGAGAAAAGGAAAAATCCTTCAATCACTCAACTGTGGCCTGACTCTTGATTCCTTCTTTCCTAGTAAGGAGCCCAACTTATTTAAATTTATATAGCTTGAGTTTGAACTCCCTTTTCGTCAGTTTCTGCACTGATTCAAAATTGATTGCAGTCTCATGCGGACCCTCGAACTATGTTCTGCCTACTTTTTGATGATCTTGCGATTCAAAGATGTAATAATGGCATATTTTTTTTTCACCTGGAGCAGTCACCTTTTTGGTCAAGCTTCTTGAAGTCTTTCGTGGTCTTGGAAATAGTTTTTTGAGGTACAGTGTGCAAAAAAAAAGAGACCACCATAAATAACTTTTGATCTTATGATCAGATCTTCATGAGAGCTAAGACTCATTCTTAATGATTCCATGGGAGGACCTCAAATATGATAATTAATGAGTGCAGCTGATATTTCTAAGTTACAAATTCAGATACTAAAATATACTTTGTCTAAATAAGCGTACCTTTTTATCTACAGATTCAGGCTTTTGATCCCTAAAATGTAGGAGGTAGCGGCAATTAGGGAAATAGGTACCCCATAGTTTGACCAAGAGAGCAGTTCACTGTTCTCTTGGTCAATTTCAAACCAGAAAAACAAGCACAAGTACAAAAAATAAGCAAAATTCAATGAGTAAATATTATTTGACCGTAAAAAAATTTTCTTAAAAAATGCATTAAGGGCTATTTTGTAATTTGTAATAATCCTGCATCATTTAATATATAAAAAAAAGAAAGAAAAACTTTTTTTAGGGAGGTACAAAAAGTTTTCAGCAAAAATTGGTCTACAAAATATGAAATGTTATTAAAACATTTTTGTTTGAAAAATCTAATAAAACAAAAATTACCTATGTATAGAACAGCTTTTGTATTGTAATTATATTAATAATATAAAAATTCCCTTTAAAAAGAATTTAGAATTGTACAATATTGCACAAGGTTACATGCAGAAGTGTTAGAGTAGAAAAAAAGAAAAAACAAGTAGAATTCACTTACTTAATAACTTCATCAAAAGTGGATGCAATAACGTCTTTAACACGATCAACATCTCCTTCAGCTATTTCTCTAACCCCCACAGAGAAGACACTTTGCTTGAAGTGACTCATGTATCTATGAGTAGAATAAATTATTGAACTTTTAGCTCTATACACAGTAAATAAATTGTCTCTATCTATATGAATAAATCTGCCACATTGTTTTGTTATGTATAACTAAAAATTTACAAAGTTCAGACACCAAGTTTATGCCTTACGATGAAATCACTAGCCAGACACAATTTACAAAATTAACAAATATTTATCAAAGGAAGGTGAAGCAAATTTTTTAATATCAAAAAGAATAACCAGTGCCAGCAAAAACTGATACAATGGAATACCAACAAGTCATGCAGTGGGTATCTCGATCTTGATTGGTTGTTGAGATGTGGAATTTATTCAGGTTAGAAACTGTTCCTTCCATTCAATTTCGTGTAAACCAAACCCGTCAAAATTATCTTAAGTGACATTTTTTCTCGAAGATTGTTTCACAAAAAATTCAATTCCTTCACAATAACATTATTTAACACAAAGGCAGGCATGAAGTCATGTAGAGCATAAACAAATTATGAATCAAAGTTGCCAGGCAAACAAAATAAAAATATATCATGGACTGGTTACAATAAAATAAACAAACAAATAATAAATATAAGTTCAGTAAAAGACGTAGACGAGAAATAATTACATTTCAACACGATGCGAGATACGGAGCTGTTTATAATAACTACATTTTAATTTACATTCTAATTCATAAGGAGAAACTAAGTTCAACTTTAACCTGCCATTTTGCTTAGAAACGAACAGCTAGCGCTGAAGTCATAGGACACATGTGTGGGTATCTATACCCAAACGTGGGTGGGTATGAGTACCCAATTCTAGATAATATAAACAAAACAAGAAAAGGGTAAACTTCTGTAAAAGTATGTGATGACATTTTTACAGTGGCAAGTAAATATTTTACATAAAAAAAGGGGGGGAAGGAGTTTTAAAAAAAAGGAAATTTGTTCTAACCAGGCTGTCTATAAACTTGCCAAGTCCTTAAGAAATAACTAAGAGTCAAACATATGGAAATAATTAAGTAAGGAAATAAGTGGGAAATAAATAAATAAAAAATTATTTAAGGAAAGAGCATCCTCACAATATTATAAATAAAGAATTCTTTAAAGAGTGTAAGAATTAGTATGAGGCCGACATTACTTACCCTGTGGCCGGACTGAAATCAGGACCAATTCCAGTCTCAATGAGGTTTTGATAAAATGGAGCACTTGGTCCATCAGTCAATAAATTTGCAAGAATCGATAAGGCAAAACTTTCGTATGTGTTTGTGATCCTATCAGGAAAAGAAGAAGAGGCTAAAACTATTCAAATATTAATGTTAAATTAATCAATACATTATTTACTTAAATAAAATAAAAATTCTTACAGATATTCTGTGACTTTTAAAAATTTAATTAGTTTAAAATTCTTTTTTAAAAAAAATTTTAAAAAATTCTTTTTGAAAAAATACACGGAAAATTTTTTTTTTAAATATTTCTGATACAAGGAAAAATTTTTTATATAAACACTAATGCAAGAAACAGAATATGCGAGTATAAGTGCTGTCGGAGTGCTGTCATTGAAGAATATCAAGTAAGAGTGCTGTCATTGAAGAATATCAAGTCAGAGTGCTGTCATTGAAGAATATCAAGTAAGAGTGCTGTCATTGAAGAATACAGATGGGAGAAGATAAATATTATTTTAAAAAGGGACTCGTTTTTAGTATAAAAGTATTCGAAAATTTGAATGTGCAAGGTTCTAAGCATTTATAGTTTTTAAAGTCTACTTGAATCACTGACAAGTACAAGCAAAAATGATTCATAAAAGTAAAAAAAAATTTTAAACTTACTTGTTAAGAAGAAAACTTTGACTAATCATGTGCTGTTTCTCTGGGATCGCAACCAAAGGATCAAATTTGTTAAAAATGTGAGCCTCTTTCTGAAAATGAAATTACAATTAGCAACCAATGCTAACCAACGTAAGTAAAAATTCGAAAATTTGGAGAATGCTAATTTATGAATCAAGTTCAACTTTTATTTGCATTTTGCAACACCAATTATGAAACAAGAATCACCAAAAAACAAGAATCAAAACATTAAAATTTTGAATTAAGTAATTTTTCAATAAATCAAATGATTCATTTAAGTCTTTAAAAGAAAATAAATAAAACGTTTTACAGAAAATCTGCTCGCTAAAACATAAATGATAAATGAATAAATAGTGAAAACACACAAATTCGAATCCAATTGAGTTTTTAATATTAAAAATTATATTACTTTAAAATTACTAAAATGATATAATTAATTTTTAAATTCCAACAGCGTTCTACCTTAGCATTTTCAGAGGAGCGGCCCGCACAGCCTGCCCTTTGATTCCTATAAAAGCACCCCCTCTTTTTGTAAAAATAATCATTCCTTAAAAACTCTGCCATCCCTTTAAAAACACCACCTTTTTTCCATATTCAATTTTGAAAAAAATAAATTCACTGTATAAATAATAATTACACACTGGTAAAATTATCTTTGTCTATAAGTTTAAGTCTGATTACTATTAAAAATATTTACTTTGGTAGGATTATTTTCAACTTATTAAATTTTTATAAGTTCCTCTCTTTTTTAAGGGAGAGATAATACATTTTGTAATGATATTAAAATTATTTTTTTAAAAAAATACTTATTTTTTTTTTAAAAAAAATGCACCTTTAAATGCTTATTTCTTCATAATTCTCAATTTAAATTATAGAAAAAAAGCTTTCAAGTTGTTTTTCAATTAATCAACTTTTCTAGTTTACTGTTTTTTTTAAAAATATTATGCACAGAGATTGCCTATTAACATAGCTTTAATTAGTTTTATAAACTACAATTCTTTTTTCGTATTTTGATAATGAGAGAGAATTGTGAATTGAATATTTTGTGAAATATACACGTAAAATAGTATAAGAAAGTAATTAAAAAATTATTGAGGATCAAATTCAGTTATTACAGAATATTACATATTTTCATACATTTTTACAGAGTTAAGTGTATGCCCTTTCAAAACCAAAAGTGTCTATTCTGAGTTAGGCAGCGCCCTGCTCTTCTGTGTTCTTCGAGAGAACTCTCAATCTAATATGAAATAAATTTTTCAGAGACATTTTTAATAATAGTCTTCAAAAATATTAAATGATGTCAATTCTCTGCTTGTTTCATTAGATTTGTTTATTAATATAAAATTAGAAGAGTTCAGGAATATGATTCACTGCACATAAAAACACAAACTTGGTAAGATATATAAAATTTAATAAATAAATTATAAAGAACCATGATAACAAAAAAAATCTTCTTTTTTTTTATAAATATTAAAAAATATAAGGGACACTTACAGGCTCTGTCCAAGGTACAACATCAGGTACTTTATTATTTACTTCTAGCTTTTTGAAATACCTTAATACACTTGCTTCAATTGCTTCTAAGTGATGCTCTAAACTCATATTGCCATATGTAATAAATCTTGAAAGAAAGAAAACAGGGAAAATGCAAGTTAGAAAATTAGTACAGTGCTTTACTTAAATGAGTTTTGCATTTATCTAAATGCAAGGTATTTATTGAAAATGGTTACTATGAAACAAAAAATTATTTTAAATGCATTTTACCATCAATGTACTAATTTAAATACCACATTCACATAATAAAAGCATTAAAAATAATTAATGCTATGAATTTTTGTGTTAAGTTTTCTACATATTATTAAGAAACAGCAGAGTTTTGTCCAAATTAGTCTAGTATTTTCTTATATTGTAAGATTGAAGGTATTAAGAATGTGTACTCTCAATATATATACATACAGTAGAACCCTGATTTTAAGTTGTTTGTTTTGTACAATATCTTGCTTCCTACATAATTTTCTGCTGGTTCATAAGGATTGCCTATACCAATAAAATTATCCCTGATTTTATGTGATCTTTTTTTAAGAGAGAGAGATAGGCTTGTTCATTGGCTGTTCAAACTTGTACTGATTGTCTTTTTTATCAATGAGAGGGGATTTCCTCACAGAGTTAAAATCAAAAAGGCAGTCATTAAATCAATGGGTAAACTACAAACAGGGAAACATTTACCTATAAGTTTGTAGATATAAAATATACACCGCGAAGAGTAGAAAGGCCAAAATACCATTTCAGATCAACCTATCAATTAAAGACCATTAAATTATTCCATAAACATATTTCCCACAACTTCGAACTGTCCTCTCCTTGTCAGCAAAAATAAGCCAACCATAAATATGCTGATTAATTTGTGCTGTGGACATTTAAAGTTACAAAATCTGACACAGAAGTTTCTTTTTTCTGAATAAACAAATCTTTTTTTTTTCTTCTGGCAGATTTGTATGGCTTAGAACCATAAAACATGAAGGCAATAGTAATCTGTACATACGGTCCCAATAGTTGAGCTATTAGAAGAAAATCACCAGTAAAGGTATGATTAGGTAAAAGGTAAAAACTCACCGACTGTTGCTTGGGTGATAATGATGAGAATGGAATTGTTTAAGAGCTTCCCAGCTGAGAGTTGGAATGCACAGTGGATCTCCACCGCTTATGTGGGTATAATTGTTACTTGGAAAAAGTCTCTTTTTCAGATTATAATAATAATAAGCATTAGGGTCAGACTATAAGGAAAAGAAAGTCAATTAGTTCAGTATGAAATAATTTGAAGGAAAAAAAATTAGTCATTTCTCTTGGACAAAATAAATAAATAATAAATAGCTTTTTCAAAAAGTTTAAAGTGAAATTATTATTACTGGCAGCAATTAATAAAAAATTTGTTAAATACCTATTTGTATAAACTTATTTTTATATTCCTCATTAAAAAAATTTAAAATGAATACTGTTATTTGTTTTTAAAAATATTTTGCAACTTTTTGTAAAAATAATGTACATAAAATTCTTAAAAAAAATGAATAATCTAATTTCTTACTAAGCAAATTTTTAATAACTATTTTTATTTCTAACTTCTACTTTTACTTACATAAACTCCTTTCATTTCATTGAATACGACACCTTTCAAAATAATGGGTGAGCTTCTATCATGGATGTTTTCATGTTCTAATCTCCAACCTTCTTGCCTTTAAAAAAAATGCTAATAAAATCAAACTAGCACTTGTAATATATAAGCTAAAATGAAATATAAGTTAGTTATTTGGAATGCTAAAATTTTAAGAGGCCTCTTTTCTTGCCAGAATGGATTTTAAATTAGGTTTTTGATTTTTAATCTTAACAATCTTTTATTTATAGAATACAGTTTGACAGTATTTCACTTTAAAAAGAAAATGCAGAAACTTATTAGCATTAATTACCTAATTTAATGTAATCTTAAACCAAGAAAGTGAAATTATTATTCAAATTGCTACTAATTATTATTATTAAATTATTATTCATAATAATTATTATTATTCATTATTAAAATTATGTATTATTCAAATTAGGAGAAATAGTACTTAATAAATGTTAGAACTTCCTATGTTGTTGTTTTTTTTTTTTAAATTAGTTTAATAAAATTACGCAGTTTACATATTTGGATTGATATTACAGTAGAAATGTCTATTTGTTTTTAAAATTTATTTATACTTGACCTTTACTTTTTATTTAAATTTATTATTATTTTTCCTTTCACTACGCATTCGCTTTTAACTGTAACATAATTCCCTCAAATAAATTTTGAAGCAAAAAGAGGCTACAAAATTTAGAAAATTTAACAAGCCAAAATTGTGTCGAAAGTGGTACCAAATTTAAACAGCCAAAAATTTTTGTCAGAAAAATGACAGGTGTATGAAAAAAAAATTCAAAACTAACACTCAGTTAGCAATATAAAATTTGTAAGGAAAAAAAAATTTTTCACATGCAAAATATATATATATATATATATCAGGGTTGGCAGGTTTTTGACATGTGACAGTTTTTGACAGTTTAAACCATGGTTTAAACCGTCACGTCAAAAACCTCACTGTCAAAAATGTCGAAAATGTCAAAAACCTATATTCATATGTGAAATTTAATTAATACATAAAATTTATATATTTTTTA